TAATTTGTATAGAATTCTTTTGTAGTATAGACATTTTTATATTCTTATTTGTATGTAATCTAAATAGAAGAAGTATACATGGTAGAATATTTTCTATATGGTATCAAAGCACTAGGCAAAAAATCTAATTCTAGCCCAATTCCAACCTTGTCTATTCCAGAATAGCTACCCTAGCTCCTCTAGCTGTTTGTCCATCGTCCATCTTCCTTCATCATGTCCAATTTTATATCAGAATCTCAACAAAACTCATTTAAAATTCACAGCTCCATAAAAAAAACCCAATACCTCCATCTACTTACTTTAGATTCCTATCCGGTCTAGATTACAAACATATGATTGAATAGAGAAAATTTTCTATGCTGGTAAATAAGTGAGGATGTATATTCGTGGGAGAGGGGAAATTGGCTACTTGATAGGTGAAAAGAAGAAACCTGCCCCGAGGATCTAAGTTACTCCATTTGGGATGCTGACAATTCTATTGTAATGACTTGGTTGGTGAATTCTATGGAGGGGGAAATCAGCTCCAATTATATGTGTTACCACACTACCAAGGAGTTGTGGGATAATATTAATCTCATGTATTTAGACTTAGGCAATCGGTATCAAGTGTTTGAGTTGACATTAAAACTTGGAGAAATCGTCAAGGTGAGAAAAGTGTTAGAAAATATTTCAATTCTTTGAAACGTCCGTGGTAAGATTTAGACTTATCAAGTGATGATTATAAGAGAAAATCATCGGAAGATTACCACCAATATAGGAAAAAAGTGAAGGATAATCATATATTTAAGTTTCTTAGTGGATTTAATATTGAGTTTCATGAAGTTAGGGGTAAAATTATTAGTGGATAGCCACTTTCCTCCATTTGAGAAGTGTTTTATGAAGTTCGAAAGGAAGAAGGTCGTAGACTTGTGATGTTAGGGAAGAAAAAACCCGACAAAAGAGTGGAGAATTCGCACTTCTTTGTAAAGGCTTGTGCTAGCCGAATGGTTCAAGGAAAATTGGAGGAAAAATCCCATATATGGTGTGACTATTGCAATAAGTCAAAGCACACACGTGAAACCTGTTGGAAGTTGCATGGAAAACCGAGTAAATTGGAAAAGGAAAAATGAGAGTAAGGGTCGATCGGCCTTTACTCATGAAGTCGAGATCGCTCCTTTCAACGAAATAGCGAGTTGGATCACATCCGAAAGCTGCTAAAATCTAGTTTTGGATTGTTTGGTGCACTTAATGCTTTTCTAGCACATTTAGGTAGCAATCTTAGTGCTCTAGTATGTCATCCTTTTTTTGCTCTTTGCATCATTGATTCAAGAGTGTTTGATCATATGACAAGTCTTTCAAACTTGTTTCATACTTATAACCCTTATTCAGGTTACAAAAAAGTATTTATAGCGAGATGAATCACATTCTCCTAGTGCTTGGTAAAGGTTTGGTAGCCTTATCTAGTACGTTGTCCCTTAAATTTGTTCTCCATGTACCTAAACTTACTCGTAATCTCCTTTATGTTAGCAAATTGTCTAAAGATTCTAATTGTCGTGTTTCTCTCTTTCACTCTCATTGTGTGTTTCGGGATTAGATTTCGGGCGGAATATTTGACAATGCTAAGATGATAAATGATCTCTACTATTTTGATGATGAAGATTCCAAGGCTAAAAATCTCGGGGCTTAAATAGTATCGGTTCTCTTTCTATCACGGATCAAATTATGCTTTGGCACTATAGGTTAGGACATCCTACTTTTTTGTATTTGAAAATTTTTTTCCTATGATATTTTGAGGATTGGATTATTCAACATTTCATTTTGAAAGTTATATTTTGTCAAAAAGTCATAAATTCTTTTATCCCTCACAACTTTACAAACATTCAAAACTATTTTATCTTATCCATAATGATGTTTTCTTCATGGATTAGCACGGTTTTGAGAAAAAAATGATTTGTGACATTTATTGATGATCATACTCGTACTGTGTTGGGTTTACTTGATGAGTAAAAAAATCAAAAGTTGAAACCTTATTTAAAATTTTTTATACAATGATTGAAAAACCAATTTCAACAAAAAATTGGCATTCTCCATACTTGATAATGGCATAGAATATTTTAATGAGATTCTTGGTCATTTTTTAAAACATAAGGACATTCAACATCAATCTACTTGTATCGATACTCCTCGGCAAAATGAAATTGCTAAAGGAAAAAAAAAAAACATTTGCTAGAAGTGTCTCATGCCATTATGTTTTCTAAAAATGTTCTCAATTTTTTTTTTTTTTTTTTTGGAGAAAAGTTGTTTTAACATCTCATTTAATAAATGGGATGCCTACTCGGGTTCTTAACTATAGTGCACCCCTTGAGTGCTTTAAAATTTTTTTCCTCGAAGCCCGGATCTATTTTCATTTACCACTAAAAGTTTTTGGGTGCATTGCTTATGTCCATTTACCTATTAGGAGGCGGTCCAAACTAGATCCCAAGGCTAAAAAATGTGTCTTTCTAGGTCGTGCCCCAAGCAAACAAGGGTACAAATGTTTAATCGTAACACTCAAAAAATCTTTGTCACTATGGATGTCTCTTTCCTTGAACATCAACCTTTTTTGAAGAAAATTTTCTTCAAAGGAGGAAACAACGTGAAGAAAATTTCTAGGAATTTAATCCCACTCCCTTGTTTAAAATCATATATTCCCCCAAATATCTCCAAAAGTTTGGTTGTTTATAATATTATAAAGCTAAAAAATGTTGAAAATTCGACAGGAGGAGGAATACTACTAGATGATCCTAAAGGATAGGAACCTAAATTTAGAGTTTACACAAAGAGAAAGAACATCAAAATGGTAGAGAACCTAATGTTCCTAAGGCACAAAATCAATTAAACACCTCGAGTGATGAGCCGATAAACATGCGAGGTACTTTAAACCCTCTACTATCTAATATTATTCTTTTTCTTGATACTTGCTATGATTTTGACATTCCCATAACACTTAGAAAAGGTAACCAATCTTATACTAGCCATCCTATTACAAAATATCTCTCATATAATAAATTATTTCGAGTCATATGGCATTTATATCAAAAATCTCTAATCTGCTTGTTTCGATAAACATTCAAAAAGCACTTGATGATCCAAAATGAAAATCAACAATAATGGAGGAAATGTATGCTCAAGTGAAAAATGGGACATAGGAAGTTGTAGAGTTACTTAAAGACCAAAGAATAATTGGTTGTAAATGGGTGTTTATAATGAAGTGCAAGGCTAATGGAAGTGTAAAAAGATACAAAGCGAGAATTGTTGCTAAGGGGTTTACTAAAACCTATGGTATTGATTATCAAGAGACTTTGCCTCGGTAGCTAAAATTAACTCTATTCGAGTTTTATTGTCTCTTATAGTTAATTTCAATCGGACATTACATCAACTAGATGTGAAGAATGCATTTCTAAATAGTGTTTTGAAAGAAGAAGTGATTATGTGTCCACCACCGGGTTTTGAAAAAAATTGTTGACTAAAGTGTAAGCTCAAGAAGTCTTTATATGGCCTAAAACAATCTCCATAGGCATGGTTTGGAGAGTTTGGGAAGGCAATAAAAAGCTATGGTTTTCACCAAAGTCAAGCGAGATCACACTCTATTTTATAAGCATTTTGAGATGGGAAAAATTACAATTATAATTGTACGTATGGATGATATAATAATCTTAACATGTGATGACTATGAAGAACTAGCAAGATTAAAAATGAAGCTAGCATAAGAATTTGAAATTAAAGACACAGGAGCATTGAAACATTTTCTTGGAATAAAATTTACAAGATCAAAAGAAAGAATATTTATGAATCGGAGGAATTATATCCTTAATTTACTTAGAGAAACTGGACTATTGGGATGCAAAGTAGCCAAAACTCTAATTGAGGCTAACCTAAAATTCAATTGCACTAAGGATGAAGATGTGATTAATAGGGAAAAATTTCAACGATCGGTAGAAAGATTGATATATCTATCACACACTTGTCCCGACATAGCTTTTTTTGTAAGTATGATAAGTCAATTTATGCAACCGCTAGGTCAAGAGTATTTTGAAGCTGCCTACAACATACTAAGGTATCTAAAAGGGACACTTGGGAGAGACTTGATGTTTAAAAGCCATGATAATGTACGAGTTAAAATCTATACGGATGTTGATTGGGCGGATAGCATTTCGATAGAAGATCAATATTAGGATAATGTAATTTTGTTGGAGGAAATCTATTCACCTGGTGGAGTAAAAAACAAAATGTAGCGAGTTCGAAGTAGTGCTAAAGCTAAGTTTAGGTCTCTCGTACATGAGATTTATAAAGTAATGTGGATTAAGAGGTTATCGGAAGATTTGACGATTCATGTGTCACTTTCTATGAAAGTCTATTGTAACAACAAGGTTGCAATTTCAATTGCACACAACAATGTTCAACAATGACAGAATCAAGTATATCGAAGTGGATAGACATTAAGTGGTCTAATCTTTGTTCTTTACAAACCAACCACCGAGCAATCGGCTGATATACTCACTAAGGGACTACGAAGAAACAGTTTGATTTCCTATTAAGCAAGCTAGCTATAAAGGACATTTATAAGCCAGTTTAAGGGGTAGTGTTGAGAAGGAGAAATCAATGATAGTCGGATCAAAGTGCCGCTAATTAAGAGGACATATGTTCCTAACAAATTGAGAGAGAAATTAGGAGATAAATTAGGAAATTTGATTTGTATAGAATTCTTTCTTAGTATAAACACGATTGTATTCCTATCTATATGTAATCTAAACAGAGGAAACATACATGACAGAACATTTTCCACTTACTACAAACAAACCAGACTGAACAGTTCATTCTCATGTATGATGAACCAGCTTCAATAAACTTCACCTTGACAACTCAAGCATTTGATCCAAGAAAATTTTGCAACATTTAGACAGCAAAAATTGTCACAGGCATATTGGCAAACCAATAATTATTTAGATGCTTCCAGCATGAGTTTTCCGGGAGCAGAGAAGATGAAGAACTGCTCTAGATGTCAATAATTTCAGAATCAACAAGGAATCCACAACCTACCTACTTCTGCTAGCAGCACAATTACAACCTCTAGATTTCCAAGCTATCCTGAAATCATATTCGTAACTGTTTAGAAACCTATGGCCATTATCATATAGATCACAATAATTACATTCAACTCGAATAAACCTTAATCTCAAACTGGTCTTGTCCATTCAGATTAAATAGATTAAAACACAAGCAAATAAATGCAGGAAAAAAAAACACACTGGGTTTTGAGCCTTCTCGAATATCCAGCAGAAAAGAAGATCCATCATGTGCTTGTTAAACAATTAGTAAAAACAAATAAAAGAATAAGATTTTGCTAGTTGGTGAATAAATCCATCAAAGAGCAACATGACTCACATGCTCTTATGTTTGGGAATAATCATAATATCATTTCAGTTCCTTGTTGGAGCCCTAACTACCCATAATCAGATACAGATATAATCATCCCTCAGTTTCAGATATAAAAATTGACTGATATAGAAACTGGTGGCACAACCACCAACACTCGGTTGATCTACTGTACAACAAAATCGCATCAACTGTAGAAGACAGAACAAAGACAATATTTAAGGATAGATATTTATGAATTACACAACAGTTGATCCGTTCTTTATGCTTTTCCAATGATTTATAAACATCAGCAGACATTCAGGTATTTCAACTAGCAAACTTTAGCATCTTCATTTCTCTCATCAATTTTCCTCTGCTTGATGTTGATAAAGACGATTAGCAGTAGACTGCCCTATTAACAGATAGACTACATCTTAAATATAGATTATTAAAACATCTATACAACAACCTCTCATTGTGTTAGAGGTGCATGATGAAAGGGGAAACAGTAATTGATTACCATAGCCAAAATTATAATAACGTAACTCGAGGGGAAAATATAACTACTATCTCTTCCATATTGGTGGATGATTGTCAACTTCCTAACAAGCAGACTTCGAAACATCAAAAAAGATTGTTATATAATCAGCCACAAAACTATCAAGGGTGATTCCATTTACAGACAAAGCTTTTTTCAACCTAGAATTCCTCAATAGATCGCAAAATTGAAGAAAGAATTTACAAAGAGCTACAATTGCAGTCTCTTTATTTTCTTTGTTTCCTTGCTTCTCTTCATCAGGCTTTTCTTTGGTTCCCAAACCCTTGATTTTCTACATTAGTACTGGTGGATTCTCTTTCTTCAGTCATTACCCAGAGACGAAGTATATGTTTCTCATTTGTAATGGAATCCTTGCTATTCTTGCTACGAGTTCAGTTTCTTCTTCAAGAACCTCTGCTTCTGATGATCAGTCTAATCTTGATGATGAATGCCAGTTATCATCAACACCTAACTTGTTTTCTGCGAAAACTGAGGCTACTCATGTTGATCAAGAAGTTCCTGCTGTGGCAAGTCTTGAACCGCTACAGCTGGATACTGTTCTTGAAACTGAAGAAGAAAAGCAAGAGCAAGAATATAAAGAAATGCAAGCAGCAGCAGCAGAAGAAGAAGAAGAAGAAGAAAAGGAGCTACTTCAAGTCAAGCTATGATGATTAAAGAGGAAGAAGAGTTCAGACAAGAAAAAGGAGGGTGTTTAGTGAAACAAGAGGAAGAAGAAGGAGAAGGAGATGAAGAGTTAGCAAGTACTGAAGAATTGAACAGGAGAATTGAGGAATTTATAAGGAAAATGAAAGAAGAAATAAGGATTGAAGCTCAACAACAACTAATTGCAGTGTAATTAATATAGATGTTAGCAGTAGTTTGAAGCTTTAGACATGCATAGTTTTTTTCCATGGCAAAGCTCTTTCTTGTCTATTAGGTTTTAATCCTTGTCATTTGCTTCCTGATCAAATCCCTCTCTTTCACCATGTAAAAGATGTCATTTTCCTTGTAGTGTAATTAACTTGGCCTTGTTTACTCAGCTGCGGTCCTGTTTTTTCTTCTTCTTCAAAGTAGCAAAATCCCTAGCACAATAAACAGTGAGTCCTCTCTCTCTCTCTCTCTCTCTATGTTTTTTTTTTTTCCTTTCGGGTTTGCATGAATCAAGAAGATAGTATTTTCTTTTGGACAAGAAGATGTCATTATTCCAGAATGATAATGAGGTTGCTTTCATGACTCCCAAGCTAGCATTTGTGGAAAATACTAGAAAGACAAGGATACCGAACATAGAAAAGATGGATATGAAATAAATAAAATATGAGACCTTGAATGAAAAATTCAAATATAATTTATTGATGCTTTACTGTCGTGGGTTGTTGTGGTGGTGCAAAACAAGCTAAAATGGATAAGGAATATTTGGTCAATGCTGCCTTCATTACATTCTAGACCTTCAGCAGTCCAAGTGTGTTGGAATACTAAATATAGAGTTAATGGTTTAATCTATATATATTTTTTATATAATATGATAATTTTTTAATTTTTTTTTTACTTTTAATTAAGTCAATTTATGACGTGATTTTCAAGATAAATTATCAAAATTAGTCATAAAATTATCGTATGAAAACTTTTTACTTGTCTAGTTAGCAAAGATATTACAAGAATTAAAAAGAACCATGACTAAATCATGCGAGTAATTTCATTGATTTGTCTGAGAATTTTATCAAAATAATAGATTATAAACTTAATGGATATATAAGGATAAAATTAACTCAGTTAGAAGTATAAAGATATATTAGAAAAATTACCTTCTTATATAGCATGACGGATTGAGCCTTTAAATCATAAATATATAATGCCTTAATTTTCTCTGTTTCTAATGGGAGAAAGTTCTAGATTCATTCTATTCTATCGAGGAAAAGCAGTTCTAATTATTAGGGTATAAGCAATTTTTAAGCTTTAGCTTTATCATGTAGCTGCCTTTTGCCACAGCAATAAGAAAAAAAGATGCTGTGAAAAAGCACCCCAAAAAGTTTTTGATTATTTTGTCAGGCAGGAACCGTTAAATCTTCAATTAAAGATTTCAAACAGGAAAATTTTCAAGTACTTATGTTAGATCGTTTTTACACTACTACGTAGGAGTATGTCTCTCGTACATGAAATTCCAAAGGATGAAGAAAAAGAGAGATAATCAATAATCTCATCAACTTTACATGATAATGCAATGAGATCATAGATAATAGTTTTGAGAGTTTGATGTTTTCTGTACAATAACAACACAACAAAACGTGTTGGAGAGCAGATAGGTATTGCCCTTTTGTTATCTACTACTACATTGTACAGTTCCGAAACCGACAATTCAATGATGTTGTTTTGCTTATCTGGCTAGTACTTCCTAGCTTTCATTTCTAGTCCCTCTATTTTATGTTCTTGACAAATATCATGGTTAGGGTTCTACTCAAGAGGGAACCTAGGGACCCCTCTCAGAATGGAGATTTGAAATGAATGAGCCATGTCAAATCCATACCTGCAACAGCACACCACTTATGGGGAATCTAGAAGAATCTCAAGGGGACCATGGATGAGGATGACCGCAAATAGAAGATCATTGCCATCTGTCTGCAAATGAAGACGACAGAAAGGTGTGAAATTATTGCTAGTAACTCTTAGTATAGAACAGTTCAGCAGTTACTCTAAAAGAAAACAAATTTTTTGATGAAAGAATGAATGATCCTGAATCTACAAAAGCCAGTACAATAATGTGAAAGTGGGTCCTTGAACCCCTACTTGAGGACACATACATTGTAGGCAGAGCCTTAAAAATCAATCAGGCAAAAAAATGGAAACATAGACATGACAAAAAAGGTGAGTCATGCACGCACCAAACTGCTATAATTTGTGGTTCTTGGCTTCTTGCGCATGGATGTTTTCCACAAAAGTTTGAGACATAGCAAATGAGTTCCGCGCAGAAAAAATAAAATGTAAAAAAGGGATGCAACAGTCGAAGCTTAAAGAAAAACAGTATGGCTATCACAGAAACACACCTAATTTTGGCATACTTTCAGTTTGTCCTGAAGCTCTGATGGTCATAAAATTGATGCAAATGGAACTACAAACAAACAAGACTGTACAGTTCATTCTCATGTATGATGAACCAGCTTCAATAAACTTCACCTTGACAACTCAAGCACTTAGACAGGCATATTGGCGAACCAAGAATTAGTTTGGATGCTTCCAGGCATGAGTTTTCGGGGAGCAAAGAAGATGAAGAACTGCTCTAGATGTCAATAATTTCAGAATCAACAAGGAATCCACAACCTACCTACTAATGGCATACCTACTTCTGCTAGCAGCACAATTACAACTTCTGGATTTCCAAGTTATACTGAAATCATATTCGTAACTGTTTAGAAACCTATGGCCATTATCATAAAGATCACAACATTTATATTCAACTCGAATAAACCTTAATCTCAAACTGCTCACAGTCGACTACATGAATCTGCAATCTTGTCCATTCAGATTAAATAGATTAAAATGCAACCAAATAAATACAGGAAAGAAAAAAAATAAAAAACACTCTGGGTTATTGAGCCTTCTCAAACATCTAGCAGAAAACAAGATCCACCATGTAGTTGTTAAACAGTTAGAAAAAACCCATCAAAGAATAAGATATTGTTATTTGGTGAATAAAACCACCAAAACATAACATGGCTCACATGCTTTTATGTTTGGGAATAATTATTAATATCAATTCAGTTTCTTGTTGAAGCCCTAACTACCCATAATCAGATACACATATATTCTTCTCTCAATGTCAGATATAAAAAATTTACTGATAGAGAAACTGGTGGCACAACTACCAACACTCGGTCGACCTACTGTACAACAAAATCGCATCAACTGTAGAAGACAGAACAAAGACAATGTTTAAGGATAGATATTTATGAATTACACAACAGTTGATCAGTTCTTTATGCTTTTCCAATGAATTATAAACATAAGCATTCATTCAGGTATTTCAACTAGTAAACTTTAAAATCTTCATTTCTCTCATCAGTTTTCCTCTACTTGATGTTGATCAAGACGATTAGCAGTAGACTGCCCTATTAACAGATAGACTACATTTTAAAAAGTTAAATGTAGATTATTAAAACATCTATACAACAAACTCTCATTGTGTTAGAGGTGCATGATGTAAGGGGAAACAGTAATTGATAACCATAGCGGAAATTATAATAACGTAACTCGAGGGGAAAATATAACTACTATCTCTTCCATATTGTTAGATGATTGTCAACTTCCTAACAATCAGACTTCAAAACATCAAAAAATGATTGTTATATAATCAGCCACAAAACTATCAAGGGTGATTCTATTTACAGACACAGCTTTTTTCAACCTAGAATTACTTAATTAATCGCAACATTGAAGAAGGAATTTACAAAGAGCTACAATTGCAGCCTCTTTTTTTCATTTTTCCCCTCACTTCTATCTTGTTCCCATTGAGACTAAAGATAGAAGATTAAAAACCACCACCTATACCATGTGTGCACAAATGGAAATGACTATAGCAAGAGAAAGCATGGAAAATATTGTAGCATGTGTTCATGATAAGAACAAGCAGTTGGTAAAAGGAAATTAAGATTTATAGAGAGAAACACAACAGGCAAGAACACAATAAGTAAAATTTCTTTTATTGTCATTATTTTGCTAGAAAACACATTTTTGGTGGTTTACAGAGTACAGCACCTTAGGTGAGTCCATTTTGTTCCAAATTGTATTGTTTGCAGCCCTCCGCAGTTATTCACAAAGAAAACACATGTCAACTGGTTGCATCTGAACAACACTTTGTACATCCACATCAGGTTAGCTTTTCTTTCCAAAAATTTCTCTTTACAATGAAAGTGAGCAATTAAAATACCCACAGATACCTTGCTGCTATTCATCATGCCATCCCCTTGATTAGTTATCAAGACGTACTTGCACCAATTGTAAACTAACCAGATGGTGAAAGTGCTAAATCCATAGCAACTCCATCACTCTCTGGCATGTTTCTAATCTCACTAATAAGTCTTTTCAGTTCCTTTGGCAGCTCCTTGCGAACATAATCAGAACGCTCCTTTGTGATTGATGACTCTGTTAATAGAGTTTCAGTCAGGGATTGAAATTCTAGTAACCATCCATCATCATTAGTTGTTTGAGTATCTTGATTATCATAGAAAACTAAGGAGCTTTCCCGTCGCCATCTGCTAAGATAATATTTTTCAGGAAGCTGAAAGTAGTTTTTTATGACGAACACCCGAAGAGTGTGTCTGCACAAAATCCCAGAGGATTCAAATTCCTTACAGGAGCAGTGGATCTGTTCATCTTCTGGTATCCATATTACAAGACGCTCAGAATCCATCTTTTTGTAGTGGTGCACAAGATATGATCCATCTGGCATTTCAGAAAGAGCACATTGCATAGAGAGCACCAATTCATGTTGGAAGTCATTGAAGGCAAAAGGTGTAAGAAAACTGCGTGCGTGCTCTTCAATAGGTATACATGTTTTAGCGAGCATGTACTGCATCTCTTGACGTGGCTGGTTATGGAAATTGGCAGACATACCAACCTACAAGAGTACCGACAAAACAAAAATAATCAGCAAAAACAAAAATTGCAACAAAATTTTCCATTCAAGGGTTTAAAAAAGATAGTGCTTTTCATATACCTGTTCAAAGAAACTACGCAGACATGTTTGTAAACAACATATTGCTTTCAGAAAAGAATCCACAGACTTTGAATATACTGATGTCGCCATCCGAGCAACAAAGTAACCTCTCGTATAGGACAATGCCCAGGATGCACGAAGAGAATATAGTAAAGCAACGTGTTTATCCGAACCAAGTCCAAACACAGAAACCATTTGATTCCATCTAAGTTCAAAATCATCTGCACTCTCAGCATGATACAACTCGTCAAACATTGATTTAAATTCTGCATATCTAACCCCAAGGGAAAGGAAAAACCAACTGGATATTTTGGGTTGAATATTCCATATAGATATAACATGTCTGGTGCTTGGTAATTCACTTCTAACAGCATCCTTAAGCCCTAGGTCAAGGTCAGTTAGAATTGTTTGTGGACATTTTCCTTTCATAAGACGGACAAAAGCCTGTAACAAATACAGAAAATGAAACTGCAAGAAAAAAGACACACAGAGAGGAATAAAATCAAGTCATGGGATTGAAGTAGCAAACCTGCAAAGCCCATGCAAAGGAACGAGCCGTCTCATCCTGCAACAGAACACAACCAAAGAATATGGTCTTTCCATTGTTGTCGATTCCAAGCCATACTCCTAAAAGCATGCCATATGTGATAGATCGATAACTAGTGTCAAAATAAACCACATCACCGAAAAAGGTGTATGCATGAACGGAGTCGCCATACGACCACACAATGTTTTCAATCTTATCATTCTCATCCATTGTAAAGTCATAAACAAAATCTCCATCCATCTCTTTTGTAGCTTTGCACGCCTCAAGAAGTTCCATAGTATCATTCTCTCTTTTTTCAGTGAGCAATGCATTATTCTCTTGAACAATCTTCTTGCGATTTTGAACAAAATTCCTGACATCCCTCTCCAAAAATGGCAATTGCCCACCTTGAATACCCTTTTCCAGCTCCAGCACCTTCACTATTCTATGTATTGGAAACCCAGCTTTCGAAAGCAGGAGAATCCTCTCCTGATCCGCCTCATGAATCTTCCGATAAGCTGGAAGAAGCCGCACTTGATCGTCTTCCAAAAGTTCATGATTATGGACATTGCTAAATTGCACAACAAACCATTGAGAAACCCCTTCAACTACCTCCTTTGACAAATACATTTTTGCATCACACCCACACCGCACCGATTTCCTATCCCTATGGTGTTCTGCAGTTGACTTTTTCCTAGCTGGTGCAAACCCCGAACGATAACATACAAAATCACGTTTGTAAATACCCAATTGAGGGCTCAATCTCGACCTCTCCTTCCTAATAGAAAACCCATTTTTCCTAGCAAAATTCCCATAATACTCGAACGCGTCATCATCATTCTTAAACACCATTCCTACATATGGAGAAACCATTGACTCAGATTGAACAGTTTCATTTTTTTCCAATTCAGATGCTACTGATGTCTCTTCAACATCTCCTTCATAAGTAACATAACATTTCCAATCCCCACATGGGCATTGCTGCCTCCTTATCCATATACTTTTAGACGGCACAGACGTCATTAATTCCACTTCAAAAACTAAACCCTAGTAGTCTATCACTGTCTCAATTGTATATAAGCACTCTCAAAATCCTTATAAGAAAGCCAGCAGAATAAACCCTTTACAGGAAAACAAAAACAAGATTTAAAAGAAAGCACTAAAATGAAGAACTACCCATCTTATGAAAATTGAACCTTAAGAAAAACCAAAGGGTGAAAAAAAAAAAAAAATCTAAGTATGTACGGATGTACCTGTTAAAGAGAGGAGACAGCCGGTGGTTGGACTTTGAGAGCTCTTAACTTTTGTTTCCTTTTCTCCTTCCTGCAGCTGCAGCCGCTAAAACAAAAAAGTTACTTGGTGAATTTAGTCCCTCTACTCTGTATTTTATTTTAATTTGGTCTCTACATTTTTATTTTTTTATAATTTCTACTCTCTAAGAAATCTTGATTTGGAACTTTTCTTTATAACAAAAATAATAATTAATATAGCTAGATATAGTAAATTATAAATTGGTTCTTGTAGTTTTGAGAAATAAATTAATTAATCTATTTTTAAAAAAAAACTAATTATTTAATTCTTATATTTTTAAAAAAATTTAAAAATTAATTCTTTTTGTTTTTTTTTCAATTGATTTTTATTTTAAAAAGATAGATAGAGGAAAAAAATAAGGTAAAAATTTAGATAGATTAATGAAAAATATGATATTTTTAAATAAAATAATATTAAATTAAATATTGTCAACAATAGTTAAATGATTAAATAATTATGTGTTTGAAATAAGGGGAATTAATAAATTCATTTTTTAAAAAAAATAAAGGAACTAATTTATAATTCCTACTTAAAAATACTATTGCTTGTGAAAGGTTTTTCAATATATATATATATTAAAAGAAACTAAAAGGCATCGCATTTCATACTGTCATGCCACTTAGTGGAATTATGAAATTTCATATTTACCCTTAATTGATCTGTTTTTTTATTTGCTTCTTGCGTTTTTTCGGTCATTTCCTTTGTTTGCCAATCATTTGCTTTAGACAGAAATGCTCTATCATTCGTTGTTTTTCAACCCTCTTTGTTTGTTTTTTGCAGGAAAGAATTAAAATCAATAATAAATTATAAATTGGTCCCTGTTGTTTCCAAAAACAAATTAATTGGTTTCTATAATTTTAAAAATTAATTATTTAATTTTATTTGCTATTTTTTCATTTATTTATTTTATTTTTTGCTTTAACATATAGAAAAGAAATAAAAAATAAGTGAAAATATTTCTTTATATCAAAATTAATAAGAATTATTTTTTTTATAAATTTTATTTTAATGTATAAATTTTAAATCTATTCAATATATTCTTTATAGGTAACCTTTTTAAATATCTTTTGTTTTACAACATAAACTCTAAGCCCACTCGATATATTTATAATATAAAAAATTGAATCATTTGTTTTTACTAAAATCAACTATGCAACTATAGCACTAAGCATTTTACAATTTATTTATTCATAGATATTTTAAATCAATTTCTTTTAAATTAAATATGTTTTTTTATAATTAACTCAATGATTCAAATATAATTTTTTATTTTAATATCATTTTTTTTCTTAATAAATATATAAAGAATATTTTTTAATTCTCTTTTTGTTTAAGAATCCCTGGATAAAAAAGAGTTAATATTTTTCAAGTAGAAAATTATGAAAAAAAAAAAGAAAAGAAAAGAAAAGAAATAGTTAGATAAAAAAATTTAAATAAAATATTATAAAATTGGATTTTTTTTTATAACTTTTGATTTGATATATATTTTTATTAATCTATAATATAACATGAAACATTAAATTAAAATGATTTTTTAAAATAATTTTATATGTTTTGTTCATTCCGAGTACATATTATTGCTTGTGAAAGAAGTTTTTCAAAAAAAAACAATATATATATATATAAGATTTGAATACTTGGAAAATCATGGCAGATTTTGACGTGTGTCAGATGTGGTAATAGCAATGGTGTCAGTCCCAAAAATTTAGCCTTTTATCTAGGGCAAGAAACTAGGCCACATGGAAACATTAGCGTGACTGATGCTGTTTCCTTCTTTGTGATTATCAATTTGCATTGATCTTTCAAGATTTTTTAAACATCACCAATTTTTTTATTTACATATAATAGAAAACTTCCTTTTTCAATAATTTTTGGTCTTCGGTATCTTTCTCTTTCTTTTTCCTGATGAAATCCAAGTTGTGCAGGTTATAATTTGGAGCACTTGGACTTGCATCTTTGGTTTTTTTTTTGTTTCCTGGTTTTTGATGGCCAATGATGATGCTAGACAGTCATTGCTTTCAGATGAAAAGAATGCTCTTCTTCAGAGAAGAAGATACAGGCAGCCTATAAATGCTAATGCATCAGAGATCAAACATTCTGAGCAAAACGGCAACTCATCTCTAAAATGGCTCGAATCATTTGTTGATCAACAAAAATTTAGCTTCAAGAGGGTGTTCATCGTCTTGGCTATCTATCTTAGCTTAGGCACTCTATGTTTCTCCCTTGTCATGGATCAAATTGAAGGCAAGAAAACAAATGGGATTCTTGACGCAGTTTACTTCTGTGTCGTGACGATGACAACAGTTGGATATGGAGATCTTGTGCCTCATACCACGTTCGAAAAGCTGCTTTCTTGCGTTTATGTTTTTGCTGGCATGGCTCTTGGTGGGATAATTCTGAGCAAGGCAGCAGATTACATCTTAGAAAAGCAGGAGATTCTCTTGGTTAGGGCAATGCACATGAATGAAAAGATTGGTATAGCTGAGATCCTTGAGGAGGTCGAAACACATAAAGTCAAGTATAAGTTTCTTTTTTCTGTAATCCTTCTCTTTGTCCTCGTAATTGTGGGAAATATCTTCTTGTATCTGGTTGAAGGTTTTGAATTTGCTGATGCATTTTATTGTGTTTGTTCTACCATCACCACTCTTGGATATGGAGATGATAGCTTCTCAACGCAGACCGGCCGGATATTCGCCGTTTTCTGGATACTGAGCAGCACTATTTGCTTGGCTCAGTTCTTTCTGTACCTTGCAGAATTATGCACTGAAAAGAGGCAACGATTGCTTGTCAAACGGGTTCTTACTCGAAACGTCACCGCCTCAGATCTCGAGGAAGCAGATATTGATCATGACAAAACTGTCAGGTAAGGAACAACTGATCATAGAACAATCTCTGTTTGCCATTTAGTTGAAAATGACCATCAATGCCTTGAATAATTGGAAATTTTCTTTCTATATTTGGCTTGTTGATCAGTTCTTCAGAGTTCATTGTATACACACTGAAGGAGATGGGGAAGATCAGCCAGGAAGATATTTCACTCGTGATGGAGAGGTTCAGAAAACTTGATGCTGATCAGTCAGGAACTTTGACAGAAGCAGATCTCGTGCCATCTCAGTCATCCTTCCCTAGCGCTGACAATATATAAAAGCACACAAAAAAAAAAAAAAAAAAACTTTCTTCTGATAATGTCAAATCCTCAATCCGATACAACTAGTTTCAGAAATTTGTAAAACATTATAATACTGTCCCCTCATTTTCACATCTGTTGAGGTCTAGACAAAGGGTTACTGATCATGTAGCGGTTATTAAGAAGAAACAGAATCAAACATGTCTTGCTATAGCCAGAGTTTCATCACCTCTTACAAGGAATTGGAGACGACAACATTTTTTTCAGTAGATTATGTCCATATTTGCAAGAAATTAACAAGGCATCTTGATGCACAGGAACTTTTTTCTCATCGCACAAAAACTTGCTTATGTTTCTGCTGAACTTTTTTGCCTTGTAACACTAGCACATCCAATCAAAAAGACTAAACTTTGTTCTGTTTATCTTGTAATAGTACTAGAGCTTGAAATATAACTATATAAGGCAGATTGTGAGAGAAACATTCGATATGGATCATCGTTTGTAGGAGATTCTTTGCAGGTAGTTGGCATGGTACGTGAGCAATTATGTCCTCAAGGAGTTTCATTTCGTTTTGGCTTTGGCATTGATACTTTTGAACATTTGTTCTGTTTCAAAGCCTTTTCTAGTGAAGGTTGAAGAAACCAGTAATGAATGACTGACCCATAGTTTTAAATAACGGACGGATAAAAAAATAATAACGGTTATCATCGCGGATCGCGACTTACTATAACACTAAAATAACGGTAATGGAATGGTCCGAAACCATTATGAGATGATCCGAAACCGTTATATAACGTAACGGGAGTTATTTAAAACTATGGACTAACCCAACAAGGCCATGAACATCAGGACCAAATAGCAGAAAAACATGTCCCTACCATGTGATACTCTTACAAAACATCAAACAGGCACAATGAGCCTTGAAAATTTTGGTTAACCATTCACTGGTTAAAATTACAAATGATAGAGACTCTGATTTTGAAGACTTGTCTGCTTCACTACATGCTTTAAGACAAGTTTAGGTTTCGTCGCTCTCTTGGCTAAGATCAAGTATACCTCGAATAGAGCACTGAAACCACACTGAAGCCAGCAAGAGGAGACTTTCTGTGCATTTTTCAGTTTATTCTTTTCCAGACATCATCTGTTTTGGCCGACCAATATCAAGTAGATAATCAAGTTTATCGTTTAAAAATGATTCATCGATCAAATCAACTTAGCAGAAAATCTGCTGCAAACTTCTTACACATACAAACAACGAAAGACAAACAAAAAAAGACAACTGATCTTACAACAAGACTTGGTACAAATTCCAATTTCCGCACAGGTCACTGTACTCCTATATATATTTGACCAATTTAAAAGGTTTACGTTAATGCATTACCATATAAAATATAAAATAAATATATTTATATGTTATTATATAATATTTAAAGTCTCGTATGTTTTTAAATTTCTAATTACATCTTATTTGTCTTTCAAAATATTTGAAATGTTCAATCTATCCTTAATTCGTTCAATTTTTCTTTTATAATTTCAATTTTTTTTGGTATGAACCTAATTAATAACATTCATTCACTATGAAGTGGGGATTCAATAATCAAATTACCACTGCATTTTATTTCATATCCCTGCGTAAGCTTAACACCTCAATTTTCCAACAAAAACCACCTTTGCATTTGATAACCTTAATTATCATTAATTAATACAAAAGATACATTCTTTATTGTTGATCCCAAAATGGGGGAAAAAAATAGATTAATCTATTATATGCACGAGGAACTATATATTTTCTTTTATTTTTTGAATTTCTAAGGTATTTCAAACATAAAATAATAGATTAGTCTCTCATTATTTGATCGGACGTACAAGACATGTGTAGCTATCCCAAGAGTTTTTTATGTACACAAAGATCCGAAATCGAAACCACTTACTTAAGCGATTAGATCTTCTCCACTCAAGTCAACCCTCTTAGTTTCATATGGACTTATATTTATTGATTTCGTTAGAATTGAACCAATTAATTAACTAGTTTTGGAGACTTGTTTGCATTTGCTTTCATGTCTAATTGCTTTTATTAGATATACAGTAGTAGCTACGTGCTTGTGTTTTGAGTGAAGCAAGTGGGACAAGTTGGAAGTGAAAATTAACACATCCATTTATTAGTCATTTTGAATAACTGTGTTTTCTCACTATCTCATTTTCTTTAGCCTTAAGGCCAGAAGGACAACTTGACAGAAAAGATTAATTATTCCCGGACCAAACTCTGTAGATCATCTCAACTTGGTTGGCTTCCATACTTCAATGTAATCCTAGATATATTTGGCCATTTCAATCGGTTTATAGCAATAAGGCATCTTGATTCACACCAAAACTTGCCTGTGTTTCTGCTGAAATTTCTAGCACCATCCAATCAAAAGACTAATGTTTGCTCTGTTTATATACTATATATGTTATTATAATTGAATAGAATTCTTTAAATACGAAAAGGTAAAATTACAAATGATAGAGCCTTTCATTCAGAAAGGTAGAAGAAGAGTTGAGAACTTCTGCTTGTTGCAGAATGATGCTCCAATCCTCAATTATTTGTAGCATATAGTATAATTTATTTGTTCTGCAACGGAAGACGATGCAAGCAAGCACACAGATGCTGCAACATTCACACCTCAGTGTTTTGTTATGCTGGGATGCAACAATTCTCTCCTTTAGGGCTACTGCAGCATGTTTGTGCACAGCGACTGTTCGGTACCCTTCCGACAAATAAGCAGCAGTGACAGCCTTCAAATAATCATGAATCAGACGCATAGTTTCAAATCCCGGTTGGTTGAAAAAGCAGTCGTTGTCACTATTGTGGATCGTAATTTATAATAATACTAAAGTAATGGTAATGACATACTCTAAAATCGTTATATAACGGCTGTTATTTAAAACTATGAACAAACAAACCTCATTAATTAGTGCAACTTGCTAGGATGCCAGCAGACGAGGACCTGCTGTTGCATTAGCAGACATGGTAATGGATGCCACCACTAGGAGGCAAGTCATGAAAGCCAACAACACATTTTCCTTTCTCACCATCTCTGCTTGCACTAAACTATATATCGAAGGAATGTACTGGATTTTGGAATGAGAAGCTGTGTGTTCATAGCCTTTTTATACTACAAATTTGTCTGTCAGTTAGCAATGGTATGAGCAAGAGGGGTGACTTTTTTGCTTGTGCTACCAAGACATATATCCACTGCAGTGATGTCCATCACTGCGTTATGGGCTTCTTTTCGTCCTTTATCTTAACAGAATTGGATCATTCTTTAGCTTCGTCATGCAAAAGTAACTATGAGCTGCCATTTCTGACTTTATTTGAACCCTTTGTGAAGATTTTGAAGACTTGTCTGCTTCCCTACATGAAGATTTGTGAAGATCAAATATACTTCGAATACAGCACTAAAACCACAATGAAAGCCAGCAAGAGGAGACTTTCTGTGCATTTTTCAGTTTATTCCTTTCCCACACATAATTAGAGCAGGTTTACCTATACACAAGTTTTTTTGATGAATGGAAAATGATTCCTTGATCAAATCAACTTAGCAGAAAATCTGCTACGAAGTTCGTGCAAAATACAAACAAAGAAAGAAAACTGATTTTACGACAAGAATCAGTACAAATTCCAATTTCTGCACAGATCATTGCACTTGGAATTTTGAAGAGGCTCCTGTAAAATTTTAGTTTTGAATAGTCTCAGTTGAACAGACTTGATAGTATCAATCCACCAACGCATTGGCATCAGCTCCATATTCCCCATGAATCTTCCTGATCCTTTCCTTCCAAATCACATAAATGTAGAAGCACCAAGCCAGCCTAAGCAAGGTTGAGATAAAGCACTTCTTCTGCAGACAAGAAATGGCTCAAGATAGATCAGATTTCCAGTCCCCAACTTGCTTACTAATAACACTTTTCTGCAAAATGCATTGCCATATACGCTTTCCTTATTAAAAGTAAAGAACAGATGGTCCCTATCCTCAGGAAATTGCTTGCTTAGAAGACATAAGCTTATACAATCATCAGCATTGTGATTTGGAAAAATAATCCCACAAACTTCACTTCGAATTTCAACCATGACATCTGATCTTGGATGAGGCCAAATCCAGCAATCATGGCAGGTTCTATAATGGTTCTATAATGTTGGATGAGGCCAATTCCTTTAAAAAATTATTTTAATTATTTTATTTCAAATAAATCGGTTCTATAATGTTGAAAAAAATATTCATAGTAAATAATTTGTATTATGTTAAAAGATGTATAGTTAATTTTTAATATAAAAATAAGAATAAAAATTAAATTGATGTGAATTTTTATAATAAATTGAAAAGATCAATTTTAAACAATAAGAATAATATATATTTATTCTAAAATCTAAAAACATATCGTATATATTATATAATTGTCAATTTATGTATAAAAAAAATTATGTTGGAAGATATATAGTTAATTTTTAATATAAAAATACGAATAAAAATTAATTTGATGTAGATTTTTGTAATAAATTGCAAAGATCAATTTTAAACACTAAGAATAGTGTGTATATATATATATAATCATCGGTTTATGAAAAAAAAATAACGATTGGTTTTTCAAAATTTTAACACCTAGTTAAATAATAAAAAAAAAAAGAGAGAGCATAAATTGATGAAAAAAATCAAAGGAAAAAAAAAACATGTGTACTTGTATCATCTAAGGGGTTAAAATTTTTATTTTAAAATTCTACAAACCAAAATGAAATAATTTAAAAATTATAAAAAAAACTAGTAAATAGTGATTTGTGAGGGGATGAACAGTTAAACTCACTTGTTCATACATGCATGTCTTTTAGATATATAGTAATATGAAAAGATTCAAATCTTTTTTTTTTTTCTCGGTATCTCCATGTCACATTAGATGTTTGAAACAAAAACGATAAAATTTAATTTCTTTTTATAAATGTAATTATAAAATTCAAATTTTGTATATTGATAAAAAGTTCATTTTGGGACGACCAATACTTGTTAGTAGAAGATTCAAATCTTTAATATAGTACATGCATGTTTAGCAACAAATATTTGGTATTTGTAATTTATGGATAATCAGTAAAAGAATTATTATTCGTTTTAGTAGGGTTGTGTGCTTGACTATTAATCTACGCTGCCATAACCATCCTTCCTCTCTATTTGTCTCTTTATATATTTATCTCTTCTCTTTACCATGAACTCCATCTCATATTTTTTCAAGAAAAGAAACATCAACAAAGATGCAAAAATAAATCTTAAAATTGTAAAGGAAAGAATAAAATGAAAAGGATTGAACTTGAGAGGCAAAAAATAAATAAAAAAAAGAATTTATATGTGTCCATAGTGATTATGTGATGAATAGAGATAATTAAGTTCGTCGGCATCACTTAGCAAGATGAATAAGTTTTTCTCGTTAATAATATCATATGGTTATACATAAACAATAAAGGAATGTATATGTGTCCATAGTGAAAATGAATCACAATAAACAATAAAGGAACAATAAACATCTCTAATCTTTTAGTTTTTCTCGTTAATAATATCATATGGTTATATATAAATAAAATAAAAATATCCCTTTTTGAGAGAGTAAATGATAAATTAGTTTGATTTCAAAAATTAATTCTTTTTATTTTAAAAATTAATCATTTAATTTTATCACGTTTAATTTAATTTAATTTACTTTTATTTCAAAAATATCTTATTTTCTCATCAATACTTTCATAATATCTATTTATGTATGTATGAAACCAAAAAAAAAAAACCCCACACATATTCCTATCAATCAAAAACACAAAATCGAAAAACGCTAAATCCAATTTATTGTTTTTTTTTTCTTTGGTTGAACAACTAACTTTTTTTTTTATGATTTTCAAACAAAATACAAGAAGGCATATATTAGTTTGAATTGATGGCCAACTGAGTAAAAAGCAAATTGTAAGGAAAAAAGAAAACTTAAAAGGAAGAATAAAATGAAAAGGATTGAACTTGAGAGAGGAAAAAACATGAAATAACAACCTCAAATTAATTATTTTCTCTCCACCTTGCCATGATCACCAACCTCCCTCCCTCTGACACTTTGAGCCTTCTCCCATCTTTTCCTATGTCTCTTTCTGTTTTTTTCCTTTTCACCTCTCTTCCACCCGTTAATTATGATAATGTGATGGATAGAGATAAGCTTGGCCAAATGGTCACATCACTTAGCAAGATGAACGGTAAAACACAAAATGAATAACAGTAAAATAGTAAAACTGAGTCACAATGAACAGTAAAAGAATAGTAAACATTTAAGATCATTTAGTTTTTCTGGTTAATAATATCAAATGGTTATGAATAAATAAAATGAAAATATCCTATTTTGAGAGAGTAAATGATAAATTAGTTCCTCTAACTTCAAAAAAAAAAAAAATTAATCTTTTTATTTTAAAAATTAATTATTTAATTTTATCACGTTTGATTTAATTTAATTTTATTTCAAAAAAAATCTTATTCTCTCATAATATTTTCATAATATCTATTTTTTTTTATTTTTTTATTTTTCGTAAAATCGATGTGTATATCGAGCAATTAATAAACTAATTCCAAAAGAATTTGCTTAACGAGAGCTAATTGGATGTATATATGCATAAAAATAAAAAAATAAAAAAATTATTATAGTATTAAAACACATAGAAATAATAACGATATGTGATCAAATACAAAGAGAAAGTGAAAAGAAAGATATGTACACGAACAGAACATTCTTTACAATTACTGCCATATTGGATTTTACATCTTCAAAGTTGCTTTCTTTTTTTCTTTTTTCTTTTTTTTTCAACTTTGCTGAGACAACTTCTGCATTGATACATCGAAAGAGGATAAGATGTTCCTGATGATGAAATAACACTAAAATAAGACCTTAATCCTGCTCTTGAAATCCAGACTAGAACCTTAATTTTCACTCGTATTTTTGGGAGTGCTCAACAGTTTCTGGTTGCCCTGCAACATAATCAAGAAGCCCTTCACCTGCTTTTTCACCGTAAGCATGGGAATCTGTAGCCAACTGTGAAACGGTACCACCAAAGACTAAGATCAATATCAGGAATACAGTTGTTGAGGCAAATAAAGGCCAAAAATATGCAAGAATGAAGAGCAGTCTAGGAGCAGCATATAATAGTAAAGAAAGAACAACAGAAGCAGTGATTGCTAAAGCAAAATGATATCTATACTGCAAAAGCCTTTCTGGGATATCCATTTTTGGCCTGAAAATTGCACTGAAAGAGAGGCAGAGATGGGGAGACAAGGAGGGGAGATCGAGAATGGTTAGGTTATGTCTTTCTTCTAAGGAGAATTCATGTTAGAGAAGTTGGTTTCCATAATGACTTTTAAACTTTGGTTTTGTCCTTCTTTTCATTGTTAATTGTCAAAGGGAGATTCCTTTTCTTTCACAAATAGTCCTCCTCTCTATGCTCTTAAGTTCTGCTCCCATCTTCATATATCTCTAATTACTGAAATAACCTCAAGCACCAGCCTAACTACACTCGTTTAATTAACTGAAATAACTGCCAAAAAAGTTTTAAGATTCAAAAAGCTTTTTACTTTTGTTAAAGTCAAAAACATAAAACAAGTTCAGTGTTTTACTACAAGCTTCGAAGTAATGAACATTAAATAGTGTTTGATTCTCATTTAAAGTATGAGAAGATCGTGGGGTAGATTGAGAAAAAACTTAACTTAGGGTATTGTTTTTGAGCATTTGCTATCATCAACCAACCACAGAACTTATCAGCACCCATTGTTAAGAAATAATATCTCTTAGGGCTGTTTGAATAGGGTGGAAAGTGAAAGAGATTAAAGAAAATTAGAGAGGAAAGAAAAGTTTCCTTCGTTTGTTTTGGGAAGGATACCTATGAAAAATAAAAATAATAATAAACAAACTTATAACTGATAGGATCCATTTTCCTCCCAAAAATTAGAAGGAAATTGAGAGAAAAAGCGTGTAAATCTTCAACAAGTGAAAAATATGTTTTCTTTTTTTCATTTTTATTATTATTCAAACAACAAGTGAAAAATAATTTTTTTCCTCTCATTTTTTTTCCTCTCTTTTCTTTCCTCCTAAGAGAAAATATCCAAACAAAGGGTTAAAGAGCTCTTATCAGACATGAGATCTTGTCTTTTCTTTCTAATAAATCCTAAGACCTCTTCCACCATCGACTGAAAAATTATGCATCAAAAGAGTGATCATGATACTATTCTAATAATGGATGATTTTTGGATAACTAAATTTGATAAAAGAATTATGCAAAATTATGTTTACTTTAGTTATAAACAAACTGAAAATGTAGATTTGCTAATAAACACATGCTTAGTGTTTGATTATCATATTACTAATAAAATTTACTTATTTAATGTATGAGAAAATCATGGTGTTGATGGAGAAAAACCTTTACTTAGACTATAGTTCTTAAGTATTTGCTATTATCGACGAACATCAGAAATTATCTGGCTATTGTCAAGAAACAATATCTCTTAAAAAACCCTTATTAGACATGAGATCTTGCTTTTTCTTCCTAATAAATCCCAAGACTTCTTCCATCGTCACCTGAAAAATCTTGCATCAAAATAACTAGCTATAATATTGTTTTAATGATTGATGTTTTTTCGATAATTAAATTTGATAAGATTAAGTTTAATTAGCTCTAAACAAACTAAAAATGTAGGTATGGTAGTAGACAGTCGTGGGGCAGTTATTTTGGTTAAAATTTTGGAAATATATAGATTCAAAAACATAAAATTTACTTCATTTTATATGTAGTTAGAGAGTAACTAGTTGCTGTGCGAAGGGCAATGGGACATATTAGTCATTACAACGCAAGACGATTAGAATGTTTTGGTATATGTTCCTTGTCCACTTCTTGAATTGGTCGGCTACTTTATGACTTTTTCAAGAAAAGATTAGCATCTAGAGGAGGCAGAATTATTATTATTTTTTTATTTTCCTCCATGTGCTCATGAGTTTCAAGAAAGGATGAGCTAACCAAAGATCAGAGGATAGCCATGTTAGCTTAATTTATAGTTTTTGTTTGACGTCAAGCTATGAAAAGGATAACTTTGTGGGCTGACTGAATTTTCTGGCAACCTTTCCATTTTCCTTCCACTTGAGAGATTCTACCCATTAAATCGCCACTTAATGAAGCTTTCTAGCATTTACCTACCACTCAAGAAGGCAAATATTCCATTTAAACCTACACCATTCTTAATTGAGGTATCTCCTGTGACGAACCTAATTTGAGTTCATTATTTTGCTTTTTCTTTACGCATCATTTGAACCATGAAAACAAATATATATATATATATATATATATAAATAGCTCAATTTATTTTTATATGATAGTATGAGTCTCTGATCTATTTTTACTTTTCTAATTATATTTATTATGTCTTTGAGTAATATTTAAATTTTTAATGTTATTTCGATCAATTTTTTTATTTTAATTAACTTTTTTTTTATCAAAATGCACCGGTTTGAAATGTAAAATTTTAAAGATTTCAAAAATACTATATATAAATCATGTGACTTAAAGAATTAATTAATTTATTTTTTATTTGCATTACAGTCTGGAGACTTCGATCAAAATATTTATCTATGGCCGAAAAAATTGATTGAAAAACCAAATTAAAAACTTATACGTTACTTAAAAATATAATAAATACAATTAGAAATATAAAATCAGATTAAAGACTCATTAATTCGGCATATATGTGTGTGTTAAGCTATTTATCTATAATAACATTACCACCACGCCTCCAGCAATTTGGACCTCCTGATTTAGGTCCTTCTAGCTTATGGAAAGTTGAAAATTTGAGCCCTTCGTTTGAAACATGAGTCAAGCCCACTAGAACATTGTCTCTAGCTAATTTTCTGAGCATTGTTTGGGAGCTGGATAATTCAAATGTAGCAAACCTAGCCCAATATGATTTCCAATCTTTTATGCGTTAAGAAAAGAAAGAGCAGAACTTTCTAATCCATATAGGCCCAAGTAAAACAAACAAATACATCAAGGTATGAATTCTATCAACAAGCTCAACTTCTTTATCTTGATCAAAAACCCAATTGAATGTTGGAACATAAAATTTTTGGCAGCCAAAAGCCCCATATGAAACTATTTCGGAAATTAGACACCTCCAAATCAGATTATCATTTCAAAAAGATGATATGGTATGAACATGACAACAATGCAAATTTGAATATTCCACTAGTTTTAGGCCTTATGCATTGAACAGAAGTTACAGAATAACAAAAAACAAAAGAGAAGCTAAATCTGCGTCGAAAATTTCTTCAAATCACAGCTTTAATATCTATTTCCTTGTCATTTACAAACACTGGGATTATAATGCAAAAAATTGGAATTAGTCCGAGCAAGCACAGTATGATTATAAAAGTCAAATTGAACCAGAGAACAATGACTGTCGACTGCCATACAAATAGCTCCAAATAAAACAAGCCCAGAACCAATGATTGAAGCTAAATGGATCAAACTGTTACAATAAAAAAAATGTATGAAAAAAGATTAGAACTTAAAACCAATTTTAAATCATTGAACAGTGGGCGAAAGAAACTGACTTTATCTTAGGAAGCGATCAAGTGAATGAGTGATGGACGGAGGTTGGTGGGTGTAATACCCGAAAAAATATTTTGCATGATAATATATGTGTGCAAATGTGATTTATTTATGTATGTAATTTAATATTTTTTTTATGTGTTTAGATGATGTTATGATTAGGTATAAAGTTTTAGGATATATTATATATTTTTGGATATTATAGATAGTATTTTTATAAATAAGAATTAATCCTACAATCTTAGCCTAAGCTATTAGGAATTAAAGGATTAAAATAGTAATAAAATAATAATAAGTTTTACTAGCTTTTAAAGGGAATGTTAGTGGATATGAAAGAAGAGTAAAAGTTTTGAAACATATATTAAAATTAAAAAAGAAACATAAATGGCCATGAAAGGAAAGAAAGTTGCCATAAAAGAAGAAGGTTAGCGGCCATAAAAGAAAGTGGTCATAAAAGAAAGTCACTTAGTGGTCATAAAAGAAGAAAGTTAGTGGTCTTTTATTATTTTTAATTCATGCAATTAAAATTCTCAAATGTTTCAACTTCTCATACCTATATATAAGGTATCATTCTCCTCATCTAGGAAAGCTATTTCACAAGCATATATTTCGAGAGAGAGAGAGAGAGAATATAATTAAGTAAGAAGTGAAGTCAAATGTACTTGAAAGAAGATTCAAGTCTTGGTGATTCAATATTTAATGTAAGAAAAATATTTAATTTAATTATTTGTTTCCATATGATTTTAGATAGAATTGAGTTTGAAATTTCATGATTTATGATTAATTATGTAAAAATTATATTTTAGTATTAGAGTCTTAAATTTTTATTAGAATATTTGATGATTAAATGTATTTAAATAAGAATGCAATAGGTTAAGTTAAAATTTAATAACATTAGATCATATGAATATAATTAGAGGAGAATTGAACAAATTATAGTGAGTTGATGATTTAATTAGGATTTTTAATTTAAAAGAAATTACAAGAAAAGAATAGGAATTAATAAAAATTAAATGATTAGAGATAAAATAATAATATTCAATTTCTTATGCTATATGGTGTGTATGTTCAAGGTTTGAATCAAGTCGATGTACAGATTTTTAGAGGAAGGTTACGATAAATAGTGGTCTTAAACGAATCAAGTAAGTGTAACTCACTTACACCATGAACGTAAATGCTATGTGTTTTTATGTGTTTGATGTGATGTGGTGTTATGATCTTGAGGTGCATTCATACGCATACATATGTTTTACATGTTAATTGAAAGAAAATGTTTTAAGTAAACGAATGAGGTTATTTTTTTAATGCATAATGAGATTCAAAGGTTGAGGTTGCCTATCGAAGCATAAATGTTGATGTTCAAAGGTTGAGGTTTGACTCGTTAAATGATGAGGTTAATGTTTTTATGCATGTTTTTATTGAGGCTAAACCCTCGCTAACCGGTGTTAGTATCTTCTAGCGGGACCAAATGAGGAAAATAATTTTAAAGACATTTATATACAAAAATTTTTAATGTAAAATCATCTATGTTACACTTATTGGGATATTCATATCTCAAGTCCATTCCGTGGTGCGAGCAATGATGCAAATGTTGAGGATGTTGATGCTGCTTCCGATGACCAATGACTCATGTACTTACCTTTGCTTGTTCCTAACGATTAGGTTATGCTTTAAATGAATATTTATTTTTAAAATAATAAGTGTAATGATGTTAAACTTATGAATATTTGAAATTTTTACTTAGAATCCGGGTATGAATATCGAGACAAAATTATTTAGAAATGTTAATTATGGTGATAGATGTTTTATAAATATGAAATTTTAGAATAATGTTTCCGCTATGTTAAGAAGAAAATCTTATGATTATATATTATTAATTATATTTTTAAATTGACACATTTAAATAAGATTAAATTAAGAACTTAATTTTAAAAAAAAGATAAAAAAGGATATAAGTTTTAGTAACGACCCGTTCGATCATGACCCTTTAAATAAGATGTCTCGATTGAGGAGCGTTATAGTGAGAGAGGTGTGTGGGGTCTACATACTGCAGGGCTATAGGCTAATTGTGAGTTTGTGATAGTGAAATGTGAATTAGGGTTAGAGACTTCGAGTTAGAGACACAGTTGCAAAGTATTTAAAGAGTAAGAGACAGTAGGGTTTTTTTTTTCTCTCTGTGATTTTGGTTTTTGACCTAAGCCAGCATAAAAAAATTTTAAAACCGAACTTAATTAAAATAATTTTAATTTTTTGATTCGATTTTCTCTTACAGATTTCAAGTTCAAAAACCGAAACTAAATAGATATTTCGATACGTTCGCTTTTTCGGCTAAAATTGAATTATGCTTATCCCTAACTTGCGAATTTCAACAGACGTGGGAGGAGTTGACCCATAAGTATGAGACAATTAAGAAGTTTCAGAGCAATCATAAGAACCTGCAGTCTAGCTATCATGGTTGGGTTCGCAATCAACTTTCTGTCCCTCGTCTCCTTCCATCGCAAAATAATAATAATAATAATAATAATAATAAATAATAAATAAAATTATTCTTAGGTCTACTTATTTGTTTTACTAACCATTTTGGAACTTGATATGTTTTATGAATACTTGAACAAAATATTCTCATTTTATATATTTGACGTTAGAGGTCTTTAATTTTATTTTGAATATTTTGTTATACAATGTAATATTTTATTTCCTAGTTAAAAAAATTGTGAATAATTACATTAATTTTGATTTGCAATTTAGCGGGATAAAAAAAATTTTCCCACCAAAAAATCAAACTTGAAAAAAAATCTCGTAAATTATTAAAAAAAAAAAAACACAACGTTTTATGACCGAACGCACATTTAAAAATGACGAATAAATCAGTTACAAAAATGCTTTTTGTGACTCTTTTATGATCAAATTTTGTCACATACCACGACGTTATCTGCTTTTTTTTTTTTTTTGACAGATTTTTTTTCTATCACAATGTCAAAAACAAATACTGTGACAAATTTAGGCCCTTTTGTCGCCGAATTTTCTATCACAAATTGAGAGTTTTTTTTTTCTTATGGTCTGTAATATATATATATATATATATATATATAGAGGGTATTGTTCAAAAGTTCCAAATTCATATTCCATTTCTTTCCGAAATTTGAAACTAAGACCTACTAATAAAAATAAAAGTTTTAACTGTTGGAGATATCACCTTTTGAGAAATTTTATAATTATAGTTCTAAAGAAATAATGTAAAATAATTATTGAATGAACTCATTTTTTAAGAAAAAGATAAACAAAAAAAAAATCATATTCGGATCCATAAAAAATAATAAGAAGATTTTTAATTCGGCTATTGTTTTTTAATTTTTTTCTTCTTTCTTTATTTATCTTTGTTTATAAAATAATTTATATTAATTAATACTTTAGTATTATAAAATTTCTCGTCACCTTGGAGCCACTTTTATTAAAAAGAAACTAACTAGTCTCCCTCGTTCACATTTCAGACAGAGAGGTGTGATCATCTTTCCCTCCAGATATCCTTGCCATAGTTTTTCTTTTCTTTTTTTTGAATCAACAATATCCCTGGCATGGTTGATGAGGAGCCCCACATCACACTAACAAATACTATTTTTTTTCCTTGGGAAAATGCATGTCAATCACTCTCAACAAAATAAAGATAAAACTTTCATGTCTCCTGATAATTGAAACGCTACTTTATGAAAGTCTTCTAAGTACTGCCATATATCAATTTTTCTAGGCATCGATGGAAGAAGGCACATCTCTTTTCCCATTTGAAACTTCAAAATATGAAGGAGGAGGCTTAAGATTGGAACTAGGTGCGTGGACTTCAGTTTCCATAGGTTACTTCTTTTAACTTAAAAGGTTTGTTTGAAGATTTTGAGTTTAAATTATTGAAAAATTTTATAATACAACAGGAATAACTAGTAGTATGTATAATAGTGATTCTATTATCTCACTTTGAGAAGAGAGATAGATACACAAAAAAATAGTAAAATTATATCCATATCCACTAAAAGTGATAAAAAGATTTTAACGTCTGTTTAAATTTTTTTATTTTCTCTCTCCTATTTATTTTTTTTTTTTTGTCTATCTTTCCTTTAAAATGGACATATGAAATAACTACTATACATATCGTTTTTAATTATTCCTGATGTATTATAAAATTACTCTAAATTATTGTGTATATAATTTTAGGTTACAAGCGAGATCGAATAAAGAGTGACAAAGAGCTTTGGTTCCAAGTCAGAAAATAGGTTACAAAGGGACAACTACTTGCCTTTCTTCTTTCTCGAAACAAAGAAAGAAACTAATGAAAGAAAAGCACATCAAAGCAGATTATCACAATGAAATTAACAAAGTTGAACGAGATTTATTTTTGTTCAAACACCTTCATCTGCCTTCCGGGTGCAATCGGAAAAGCTCCAGATTTCTATCTCCCTCCTCTCTACATGATCACCTGCTTGCTTCTAATTCCAAGCACTCAAATGTCCAGCTTCTACACTTTCTTTTGTATATATGGACTATCCTCTTCTCCCTCCATGCTCTTCTCCCTGTACAACAATAGGAGTAAATATAAGCTAACCAAAACATAGCTTCGTTTATCAAAGATAATAAAGTACGAATTAATTGAGTCTTTATGGCTGCTGAGACATACCCTAGTATCCAAAGATATAATGGTAGTCGGAGCTGGGGTTCTCGGACTACATATGGCTTAAACCAAGGCTGTTTCTTCTCTTCTCTTTTTGCCTCCGATCACGGGCTCTATGGTTTTGGAACCAATAAAAAACATTCTTCACTTCAATCTTGCCGTATCTGCTTAATTGTGCAGTGATATCTTCTATTTGTTGCGCACTAGGAGCTCTCATTCCTCCCCTATACGACATCTCTAGTATCCCTATCTGCTCTTGCGTTGGGTTCCACCGTGTCCCTTCACCTGCTTTTTCACCATAAGCATGAGGATCTGCAGCCAACTGTGGAGCATTACCACCAAAGACTAAGATCAATATCAAGAATACAGTTACTGAAGCAAATAAAAGCCAGAAACATGCAAGAATGAAGAGTAGTCTAGGAGCAGCATATAATAGTAAAGAAAGAACAACAGAAGCAGTGATTGCTAAAGCAAAATGATATCTATGTTGCAAAAGCCTTACTGGGATATCCATTTTTGGCCAAAAAATTGCACCGAAAGAAAGGTAGAGATGGGGAGACAAGGAGAGGAGATAGAGAATGGTTAGGTTATGTCTTTCTTTTACGGAGAATTCACGTTAGAGAAGTTGGTTTCAATAATGGCTTTTAAACTGTGGTTTTGTCCTTCTTTCCATAGTCCATTGTTAAAGGGAGATTCCTTTTCTTTCAGAAACAGTCCTATCCATAGTCTTATGTTTTTCTTTGCTTGCTGTTGTCATTTTCGAAAAATTTTATAATACAAAAACGAGTAATTAATAACATATAAAGTGATTACTTCATAAATTTTTTTAAAAAATAAATAAAAAATAAAAATAAAAAAATAAGTAAAATATAAAATTTTTTTATCATTTTTTATGAATTCTAATATATATATATATATATATATATATATATATATATTTTAAAAAAATAATAATAATAATAAATTTATAAAATAATTATTATATATATCGATAATCAATATAAAATTTCTCGTCTTTTTTGTTGCTTCCCATGTCCCTTTGTGTTTTTTTTTTTTTTTTTTTTGGTTGAATGCTTCAGGCCCACCACTTCGTTCGTAGTTAGAGTTGCTTTCTCTTTTTTACATGAAAACTAACATCATAGGTAGCAATTGACTATAGAGTATTTGCCAGCAAGTTTTAATGTGTAAGAGCATCTCTAACGATACTTTTACTTTTAGTTAGTATTTTTAATATAAATAAAAAATATTATTAATTATATAGATTGAAAATCAATATTTTTTCTAATGCTATTCTCTACTTAACTCTTTATTTTGACAAAATCTATAAAACCCAAAGAGACTATTGATGAAGAGGTTAAGTGACATAGAAAATAGTAATTTTCATTAATAAAATATAAGATAAAAAGTCATTTGGACTCTCTAGTATTGGAAAGCCAAAGACACTCTCTATATCAATTTTAAAGATAGAGATTGTGATAAAAAGAGCATTAGAGATAAAATTTAAATCAAACTTTTTTATTATAAAGAAAAATCTTAATATAAAGAGAGCATGGAAGATGCTCTAAGACTTTTGTCTTCTTCTTTTATGGATCATCAGGGGTATCCATATCCATATCCATAGCTCTCTCTTATTAATAATTAAATTAATTAATTTTTAAAATTTTAAATATTAATTGTTGATTTATTTCATTTTAAAAAAATTCTGAATCATTTTAAAAAAATTTATAATTAAATAAATTAATTTTCAAATTTTAAATCTTAATTGTTGATTAATTTCATTTTTTTTTTAATTTTTGAATCATTTTAAAATTTTGTAATTTTTGTTTTCTCATAATTATTTTTGAATTTTTTATGGTGATTGTTTCAAAATTAATCTCTTTGGGGCCTTTCCTTTTCAAATTACTAGACTGACTTAAAAATTACATGCTGCAAAACTAGGACATTTATTTTTTACTTATATTACTTTATTTTTTTGGTTTTACATTTTTATAAAGGAAATTTCTTAAATTTTTTATTATTTTTACTGTCATTAATGTCCATGTGTGCAAGCAAGAGACCAATTACTAACTAATCATAATATGCCATATGTGAAAACTATAAAGTGAGATGGATTCTTTATACCATATGTTAATATAAAAAATATAAAATAAAGCATTAATGAAGCTTCGAGGAGAGAGAAAATGAGATAAACTTTTTAAACGGAAAACAGTAGTTCAAAATTTCTTACAATATATATAATTTTTTTATGGTTTTTGTTTAAACTGCAAGTTTTAATTTAGGAGGAATATTGAATTTTTTTAAGAAGTAAAAACAGAAAAATTGTGAGAAAATTATGAATCAGTACTTATCAAAACCTCTTAAATTGTTTAAAAAATTCTGATAATATAATATTTAAATTATGTGTCATTTACATCCTTAATTCATTTCAATTAATATCATTTAATGAATAGGTATCAACTTACATTTATATCTTTTAAATTGTTTAAAAATTATGATAATATTGTTTTTGAATTATATATATGTCATTTATAACCTTATTATTTGTCAATTAAGCCTTTCTAGAAAAAAAAAAAAAAAAAAGACGAAATCAAGTGATACAATTAACATTATTGCAACTAAAAAAATTAGGAGTAATTAAAAATTTAAATTTAATATGTGTCGAGAATTTTTATTTTGTTGTATGATATGATTTTCTAAATTCAATAAATTCTTCTATAAATATTTTATTATGTTGAATAGATATGTTTAGGTGAATAGATGTGTGAACATATTTGTGAATAAATTTCTATTTGATATTTGAATTCATCAATTGATGTAATAAATAATGATACAATTTATATTATATTTTTCAAGCATTGAGAATAATTTAGAATTTAAATTGAATACATATTGATAAATTTCATTTTATTTTTTAAATAAATTTGATGAACAATTCAATAAATATTTAATATATAGTATTGTTGAATAAGTATTTTTAGGTAGATAAATATGTGGAAATGTTTGAGGAAAAATTTCTGTTCCATATTTAAATTCATCAAATGATTCAATAATAATGATGGTTAGTAATATTTAAAGATTATTATAAGTCATTGCATGAAACATTTAAATTCATCAAATGATTCAATAATAATGATGGTTGGTGATATTTAAAGATTATTATAAGTCATTGCATGAAAAAAACATGTTAAATTAGAGATATCCTTAGTAGCAAACAAACAAACCCATTTATGATGGTCCTAAAGATGTAATTATTAAAATTCAAAAAATCTCTTCCAAGAATAACAATGTGAAAAATAAAATGAAATAACTTAATTATAATCGAGTTTTTGCCTCCCATTGATTTGAACAATATTGTAAAAATAAGAATCATGATCAACAAAAGACACTAAAACAAAATGAGTTTTTATTATTCATGTCACTATTTATACACTCACAAATCACTATTCCTTTCGCTATTCATGACGTTGTTATAATTTTCAAGATATTTTGAAGCATTTCATATGCAACTTTTCATGTTTTCAAGAAAATTACCCTTTGGTTTTTAATTTTTTCACATATATTTGTTTCGATTTCTATCTTTATTTGTGTTGCAGTTTGATTTTTGAACGTAGATAAGAGATAGAGAGAAATGAGATGAAGGAAGACGAATTAGGAGATAGAGAGGCACGACAAGATCCCATTCTAGACAACAATGCATCTTTTGTTTTTTTTTAAAGTTGGTTTGTGTCGACCCCGTTTGTTTTTTTTTTCTTTTTTTTTCAATGACTTTTTTTTTATTATTGAATTTGTTTATTTTTGCAAAAAATTAGGAAAGATCGATCATTATTTGTGTTTTCATACAACCTACCAAAAAAAAGATATATATGATATATTTTTATATTTTAGATTGAACATATTTTTCAGATTATATTTTATTATTTAAAATGCATTACTTCAATTTGTCGAGTTCTTATGAAAATTGTCATCCACTTAATTTAAAATTGTATTTACTAATAATTTTGATTCATTTTTCTCTATATATGGATTTTGGAATAAATTTTTAGAATATGATTATTTTTTCTTTTAAAAAATAGATTTATATAATTTTATATGATTGATTCTTAGAATTTAAAAAATTTAAATTAGTTAGTTAATAATTGAAAGACGAATGTGAGAAACAAAAGAGAGATGATTGCTCTATGTGTGAGCCTACGCACAAGGACTAGTCATGAATGACATAGAAATAAAATATTATTCAAGAAAGAAGGAATATATATATATATATATATATATATATATATATATATATATATATATATATATATATATATATATATTCCTTCTTTCTTGAATAATATTTTATTTCTATTAACTTCAAATTTATTCAACATATTCCTTACAAGTTAACATTTTTTTAATAATATATATATTTTTTATGTCGCAAACACTCGAACCCACTCGGTATAGTTATGATGTATAAAAAAAATTTAATCATTGTTTTTTTTTAATAAATTAACTATGCAACACAACACGAACCATTTACTATTTATTTATTTTTGAATATTTTGAAATTAATTTCCTTTCGACACAATCTCATGAGAGCATGTGCATTTTTTTATATATCTATTCACAAAAGAAAGAATAATATTAGAAGAAAATTGTACTTAATTTTTTTAATTTTTTTATTTCTAATTTTTTATTAATTATTATTTTATTTTATTGACACAATCGTATGAAATACTAATTAAGGATTTTCTAAAAATTTTTATTTAATTTTCTTTTTAGTAGGAATCCTTGGATTTAGAAGAAGAAATCCTTTTTTTCATAGAAAAATTGAAAAAAAAACACAAAAAAAATAGTTAAATACAAAATTTTGATTAAAAAATTATAAATAATTTAGTTTTATTTTTTATTTTGTATATTTTTGTAGATTCATAGCATAACACATGTCATCAAACGAAAATAACTTTTTCAAATAATTTCATATGTTTTACCAAATCTGTAACATAGCACAGTAAAAAAAAAATTAGTTTTAATTGAAATAACTGCCATAAATGTTTTAAGACTCAAAACGCTTTTTACTTTTATTGGAGTAAAAAACATTAAACAAGGTAGTGTTTGATTATCATGTTACTGCAAGATTTGAAATAGTGAACATTAAATAGTGTTTGATTATCATGATCGTATCGTTAAAAAATTCATTTATTTAATGTATGAGAGATCATGGCGTCGACTGAGAAAAAAACTTGACTTAGGCTATAGTTTTTAGACATTTTTTATCATTGACAAACAACAGAACTTATAAGCCATTGTCAAGAAATAATTTCTCTTATAAAGCCTTTATCAGACACAAGATCTTGTATTTTGTTCCCTAAAAATCCTAACACCTCTTCCCTTGTCGACTTAAAAAACCTGCATTCAAAGAACTGGCCATGATACTGTTTTAATGATTGATGTTTTCTTTGTCCACTTCTGGAATTGGTCGGCTACTTTATGACTTTTTCAAGAAAAGATTAGTATCATGTGCTTATGGGTTTCAAGAAAGGATGAGCTAACCAAAGATCAGAGGATAGCCATGTTAGCTTAATTTATAGTTTTTGTTTGAAGTCAAGCTATGAAAAGGATTACTTTGTGGACTGGCTGAATTTTCTAGCAACCTTTCCATTTTTCTTCCACTTAAGAGATTCTACACATTAAATCATCAATTAACGAGGCTTTCTAGCATTTACCTACCATTCAACAAACATTAAAAGTCCACAATGTCTTTTTACTATTTTATTTATTTTAATAATATATTTTTAATTATTTTTTTAATAACCATATCTCTCTATTATTAATTTATGTTTTAATTTCGTTCATTTGGCTAACTTTTTCGATATCTATATCAATTTTCGATGATAAACTCACAAGATGTTGACACGTGACATTTTTTTCAAAAAATATTCTGAAAAAAATAAAAAAATCTAAAACAAATTCCAAAATGTCTATCCTTTTCTCTACCTTTAGGTATAAAAATAAATAATTAATTTCATTTCTAAATATTTTTCTCTTTCTTTCAAATTCTTAAAAAAAAAAAATTTACATGATAAATTTCTAAAATAAAAAAATTTACTTCTATTCTTTCTTGTACATAAAAATAATTAAAAAAATCCTAAAATATCCTTCATTTTATCTACGTTTTGCTTTTATTCTTATGTTATGAAAAAAATTTCATAAATATTTTTTGTTTGGATTTGAAATAAATTTCATAAATATCTCTGAAATAAATAAATAAAATTTTTCTTTTGTTCTTTTCAATACATAAAAAATTTTCTTTTTTAATTTGAATTTAAGATAAAGCAAACAAAAAAAAATTTAGGGATTAAATTAATTAATTATTTCTATAAATAAAGGTAGAGAAAAAAAGGGGGTATTTTGGGTTTTTTATTTTTTTCAGATTTTTTAAGGATTTTTTTTCAGAATTTTTTTTAAATGCCACGTGTCATCATCTTATAAGTCTATCATCAAAAATTGATACAGTTACTAAAAAATTTAACTAGATGGACAAAATTAAGATGCAAATTAAGAATAGAGGGACACGATTAAGATAAATAAAATAGTAGATGAATATTCTAGATCTTTAACCCATTCAACAAAGCAAGTTTTCTATTTAAATCTACAGCATTTTTAATTGAGCTATCCCCTGTGGAGTACCTAATTTGAGTTCGTTATTCTACTTTTTCTTTAAGCATCGTTTGAACCATGAAAAAAAGAAGATAAGTAGCTCAATTTATTTTTATGTAATAGTATGAGTCTCCGATTTAGTTTTATTTTTCTAATTGGATCTGTTATGTCTTTGAATAATGTTTAAATTTTCAATATGTCATTTCGATTAATTTTCTCGATTTTAAGTAAATTTTTTTAATAAAATGCTTTAGTTCGAAATATAAAATTTTAAAGATTTTAAAAATACAATATACAAATCATGTAGCTTTAAGTATTAATTAATTTATTTTTTGTTTGCATTAAAGTCAGGAGATTTTGATAAAAAAAAATTATTTATAGTCGAAAAAATTGATTGAAAAGACAAATTAAAAATTAATATATTATTTAAGAATATAATAAATACAGTTAAAAATATACACAGATTTAAGACTCATACTTCATGTGAGTCAAACTATTTATCCATAACAACATTACCACCTGATTTAGGTCCGTCTAGCTTATGGAAAGTTGAAAATTTTAGCCCTTCATTTGAAACTTCAGTCCAGCCCACTAGAACAATCTCTCTAGCCAATTTTCTCGAGTACCAGAGCGTTGTTTGGGAGCTGGACAATTCAAATGTAGCAAACCTAGCCCAACATGATTTCCCATCTTTTATCCATTAAGAAAAGAAAGATCAGAACTTTCTAATTCACGGCCCAAGCCCAAGTAAAACAAACAAATGCATCAAAGTGTAAATTCCATTAAAATCCTCAACTTGGTCACCATCACATCACTATCAAAAAATAATGCAAGTGAGGAATTCAATTAGATTATAATTAACAATTGAAAACCCAACATCTTTATCTTAATCAAAAACCCAATTGAATGTTTTGGAGGTATATACGGTTTGGTCATAGTCTAGAGTATCTTTTAGGGCTAGTTTGGTGTTGGTAAGGAAGTAGGGTGGTAGTGGTGGAGTCTTCCCTTTGTCATCTAATGAAAAAAAAGAAAAGAAAAAAAAAGAGAAGGAAATGGAAACACCAAATAATGTACTTAAAGTTTACCATATGGCTGGCTAATTGTCTTAGAACAGCTGGACCTTCATGTATTTTTCTTGTATCCAATCATACTTACAAGCAAAGATGATGGTATAAAATGTTTATATATAATATGAAATATGTTTTTTCTTTTAAGCCACTTTTTTTTCTTCCCTTTTTTTTGAGAATTCTTTTAAGCCACTTTAGTTAGTCTTTTTCAATTCAGAGTCATGATCAATACCTCATTTTTCTTTGTTTCAATTCAAAATCTCTTTTGAGTGATTTCCACTAAGTAAGAACAAAAAAAAAAAAGCCATGGTTTAAGCAAGATTTGGCGCTTAAGCAATTAATTTACTCCAAATCATGAGCTTTCTGTCCATATAACCTGACCATGACAAGGCCAGAAAAATCTATAAAAAAAAAAAAAATTAACAATTATCTTAAATAAGTTATGCTAGATTCTATGAACCTTAACCTAAATATCATCTTCCTTTTTCTCTGTAATGTCCTTTTGTCTGTCTTGCAATAAGAATAAATGAAACAAAACCTTGTAATTAGTTGTGTCTTCCACCTAATAAAGTTATGCTTGGAGAACCCTTTTTGATGGGGGCAAAGTAGGTCAAATTTACATGAGAATCAAAGGACACCTACCATGTTTAATCAATAATGTTTTTGGTTTCCACTTCTACTACCAGCATTGGTCAGTTTCTGGGTTCTAAATATGATAAATCAAGGGTGCAACAAATGGCCACCAACAACTCCTTAAATTGTACACATATCTATCTATCACCAATCATAACTATACTTGTCAAGATTAGGTGGCACTAGAAATTCAAAACTGTTATCCCAAGATGTAGTACTAGGAATTTTAAGATTTAGATTCAACATCACTAATCAAACCCTTTTTAAAGTAAAACAAATAATCCTATACCATCCAACATCGTTTATGTTAATCTCTCCATTCAGGTATAATTAATGCGTCATAAATTTTTTTATTACATTAGGTTAATACAAATCAGTCATTTTGTTAACTTTTTTTGTTAGATTAATCAAATTTCGGTAATTGACTAAGTTACGTAGCAACATGTGTTAGCTTAAAAATAAAAGTAATTTGAAATAATTAGTTCACATCAATTAAAACTTATCAATTTTGTTTATTTTTTTATTATATAAATATTAATTATTTATTTTAAATTTTCAAAAACTGATTTGAAATAAAAATTTATGTTTTTATCATTTAGTTAACATGTGTTATTGCATAACTGGTCTAACGAAATTTGGTTAATTTGACGAAAATAGTTAAAGAAAATGCCAACTTTTATCAACGTTTTGTGATGGAAGAGTTAGCGTGAACATTATTGTATAGTATAGGGATCGAGAGAGTAGTTAATTCTTCATTAAAATCGAAACAAACTTTTGTTTTTGGTATGCAAAAGTTTTTCCGAAAATGCATGAACTAATATATATATATATATAAAAGAGATAATGTTGTACTGGATTATGATTTAGTTAAGGAAATTAGAATTTTGAAAATAATCTGTTTGAAAATAAAAGGAAAGTAACGGTTACAAACCAAAAAAAATGAATGAAGAGATAACGAAAGCCGACTAGGCCGGCTTATGATGGAAATGTGGTTTTCAGATTTTGCTTCAGAGGAAGGGAAGCTCCAATCCTCTCTTTGCGGTCAATTCCTTGAAGGAAGGGACTCTTTTGGAGTGATAAGACTTTTTCTATATCTTATGTTTATCTCTTACAAAACCCTCTTATGTTGTCTAATAAAACCCCACACCTTGTAGTTGTTGTTGTTCTTGTATTTATTGGAGCTTCTGTGCTTTATTATTCTTAAACCTTTGCATTTTGTTTCGAACTTTAAGGAGGTAATAAGAGTGAGAAAAGATGGTGGGGTATGGTAATGAGGAACAAGTTCTTGGAGGAGGAGTAGGAAGAGAAGAGCTTTCTCTTTCTCACCCTGACCCTATTGTCTTAGAGCTCAACCGTTTACAAAACCTTCTCAAAGGTTTGCCATGTCTTGCCCTAAAGTATACACATTCTAAGTTTTTGCAAACATGCATCTTCTGTTTCTGTTTAGTTCTTTTGTGGTGAGTTCAAATTAGGTTGAATTTTCTGTTGGGGTCTTGAAAGACAGTGCTTCTTTTGAGTAAAAATTTATTGTTACATGAAATTCTGTGAAATAATTAAGTGAAAGTTTGAATTTTGAGGAAATTTGGTCAATGGAATTTGGTTTTTGGTTTTGAATCTATGGCCTAGGGTAATTATACTCAATAGACAGATAATTTCCTGTTTTTTCCTGTGTAAAATGATTTGGATCATATAACTTGGAAAAGGACAGTACTTTATGATAAGATTTAAGTGTAATTTGATGTGGAAATTAAAGTTTGACTTTCTTTCATTCTTGTTTTTTACTCTTTTAACTGTTCTGCTCTCGTCTCCTAGCAGTTTTCTTGTAATTTGGCTTAAAAAGAAGTACTTGCTTTCCACTTACAATGATGTCTTGTGATGGTTGTGTTTCATCATTGTTTCAGAGAAAGAAAGAGAGTTAGGGGCTGCACAAGGGGAAATTAAGGCTTTGAGGGCAACTGAAGCTTTGAAGGATAAGGCCATAGAAGAGGTACTGATAAAAATCTGGAAAACAAAACAATCCCATGCTCATCTATAAGCAAGTTTTTTTGGCTACAAAGCTTGGCAAATTTAAAGCACAAAAATCTGTGTTGAAATGATTATTTTATATCATAATCGTAGTTTATGCAGTTTAGGTAATGTTTGGTATAAAGTAATGATTCCATTACATGATCTTCCGTTCTGTTATGTTTCCATCAAAGGTTTAATTGGAATCTTGCCAGACAGAGGCAGAAACAAGTTTCAAACTCTTTTTGTTCAGTTTGATAGAGTTGACACTTCTGCTTTTTCATGGTTTCCAGCTCAGGAATGGAGTTAGTAAACTGGATGAAAAGCTTGGTGTCACGAAAAATCTTGTCGAGTGCAAGGTATCCTAGGTTCCTCCTGAAATTCTATAGAGCTATGTGTAAAGATTTATGATCTGTATGTTCGAACCTGATTCACTGCAGAATCTTGAAATCAAGAAGCTTACAAATGAAAAGAAAGATGCATTAGCAGCACAGTATGCTGCAGAAGCAACTCTTAGAAGGGTCCATGCAAATCAGAAGGATGATGATTCTCTTCCTATTGAGTCGGTCATTGCTCCTCTTGAGGCAGAGATTAAAATGTACAAGAATGAGGTATGGTGAAGAAAGAAAATTACTTTCAGATAACAATAAGATTATGAAAATGTCATCCGTTCTCTTACGCAGAGTGCGGTTTTCTTACTTATCGGTTTTTTTTTTTCAGATTGCAGCTTTGCAGGAGGATAAGAAGGCAATGGAGCGTCTCAGCAAGTCAAAAGAGTTGGCTCTGCTTGAAGCAGAGGGAATTTTGCGAAGTGCTTTAGAAAGGGCTTTAATAGTTGAGGAGGTTCAGAACCAAAACTATGAGTTGAAGAGACAGATTGAAATCTGCCAGGTACAATTCTGTTGAATATTTGGTAAATAGATTGTGTATGTTATGAGGATTTTTGCGTGATGCCAATTCAGAAGTGTCTCACTTGCAGGAGGAGAACAGAATTCTAGAGAAGACGAATCGCCAAAAAGTCTTGGAGGTTGAAAAGCTTAGCCAGACCATTCATGAACTTGAGGAGGCCATTCTAGTTGCTGGATCTGCAGCCAATACTATTCGCGACTACCGGAGGCAGATTTCTGAGCTAAATGTATGTTTCAGTCTTGTATGAGTTCATCTTTGTGATTTTGTTGAGAAATATGATTTTTTCTGCATATTATTGTACAACATTACATCAGGACTGCACACTGATTTAGGTATCTGACCTTGACTTGCTCGACTTTTCAGGAGGAGAAGAGGATGCTGGAGAGGGAGCTAGCCAGAGCCACAGTTTCAGCAAACCGAGTTGCAACGGTGGTAGCTAACGAGTGGAAGGATGAAAATGGCAAGGTCATGCCTGTCAAGCAATGGCTTGAAGAGAGAAGGCTGCTGCAGGTATTTCAATAACAGCAAATTCTTTGAATCCAGTTTCTTTCAGCTCCTCCCTCAAAGTACTTCCTGTGTTTCATCAAGAAACATGGTTTCTTTTTCGGTTTTCGCTAGTCATCGCTAAGAAAGACTATAATATGTATTAATTCATCTGTATTGGCATTGACAGCGGAAAAATGACATCTTGACTACATAAAATTCATTAGCTTATGCATTATTTTTCATGACATCCCTTCATTTTTAGGCGGAGATGCAAAGATTAAAAGATAAGCTAGCTATATCGGAAAGAACAGCTAATGCAGAAGCTCAATTAAAGGTAAATATTGGCATCTTTTTCAATTTGTCAATCCAAATGTTATGATGCATCTTGTTTATCAGCTAAATGTTTCTGTCACTTCAGGAAAAATTGAAGCTGAGGCTAAAGACAATGGAAGAGGGCTTAAAGCACGCATCTAGTTTCTCTGCGAACCCTAATGCATCCTGTGGATCCCCTAAACCCGGAAAAACCAGTAACATACTAGGATTCCTAACGAGCAGCGGAGGAATGAGGAAGAGGTCTACATCACAGCCAAGAGGTTCCACCATCACAAGAAGTTATCCTCTCCAGCAGCCAAATTTAGAAACTGAAAATGCAAATGCTACTGGAAAACTAAATCGAGCTGATAGCTTCAAGAAGAAGTATGGTTCTGGAGAAAACATGTTGAGGAAAGGTATTTGGGTATCTAGAAGTAAAGTTGTCGATAGCAGTGGAAAGGAAAATACAGAAGTTAAAACAAACAGCGAATCCTATATTGACAAGCACAAGAATGATGATACAACAAATTCAGCAGAAACAAAGAACAAAGCCGGTGGAAATGAAGACTTACAGAACAAGGGAAGTACCAATTCTGATAGTGAAGATGTTGTTTCAGGATTTCTGTATGATAGGCTTCAAAAAGAGGTCATAAGTCTAAGAAAGTACTGTGAGACTAAAGAAAGCAGCTTGAATGCTAAAGATCAAGAAATCCAGGTGAAGTAACAGCAACTACTCTCTCAGGCTTAATTTCTCTGTCAAGAGTAATCAATCTATATTTCTATGAGGTAGTAACATTTAACTCCATAATGTAAAATTATTTCCAGATGCTCATGAAGAAGGTTGACGCTCTTACAAAATCCATCGAAGTAGAGTCCAGGAAAGTGAAGAGAGAAGCAGCAGCTAGAGAAAAAGAAGCTGTATCAGCAAAACTGAACAAACCAAAAAGATTAGGAGTATAAACTTTACAAAACTGGTCAGTAAAAAATGCCAAAAAAAAAAAAAACTATGATATACTTTTAGCTTTTATTATTTTTTAATTTTATTGATCACATTGAAAAGGGAGTGATGATAACACTTTAAGCTATTTGGATGCCAACAGGGAAATCAAGTCTCTTGAAGATTTCTTCGATTGGATATCGATGAAGCTACCTGAAATTCATTTTATTCTTCAACCATTTCTTATGATTCTTCGATGTAAATACGAACGGTTTTACTGATTCTAGCTAGTTGAAATAAAGTTCTGAATAATGGAAGGAGGAGTCTGAACTTGTAACATCCTAGGACAGAGCTGAAAGTTGTGTTGATTGCTGCTTGAGATTGCCTGAATGATTTAAAATATGCTTTTGGTTTGTGTATGTGGAAAGTTGAAGTGTGCAAACTGAGTGAGGATTTGTAAACAAGGAAACAGTTGGATCCAAATAAAAAAGCAGAGATTGTCTGAAAAACTGCAGCAAAATTTTATAAATCATCTTCCTTTTCCTCCCCTCTTTTCTTTCTTGCACGTTCTAAATGTATATAACAGAAGACATTTGAATTCGCAAGTCTTTCTGCAGTTTTAAACTGGCTATGGTAGTTCACATCCTGAACATAATAAATCAAACATTATACATTAACAAATCTGCAACTGAATCTCCACCCCCTAGCACCTGAGCTAACCGCAGAGAGCAGGTAGTAATCTTCCCATTTTGGTTCAAAACTCACAGGAAGGTCTAAGAACTCTAATATTGATTACAACCACAATTTGCATTTAGCATTGACTGCTCTAATGCAACAAAACCAGAAGAGGTAAAACATGGAATAAAAAAACCAGAAACACCTCTCAGATTCTTGAGAACCTACTCTGTATCATCTATTAGACTTGTATATACTTTCGAGACTAGGGCGGAGCTATACTCTATATTGCTGCTGTATCTTCTTTTGGAAATTGCATTATAATGCAACCAGTGAAGGAAAAGTAGGAAAATCCCAACCATTTTTTAAAACTTCAGCACCTCTGGAATGGTAACTAAAGTAGGCTGCCATTTTCGATCTCCTTCCTTAAAACTTTCGGAGATTCGGACAGTGATTCCTTTCGACTTCAACTGCTTTGAACTTCTTAGCAGCAATTCCAACTGCTGTCTAGTCACAACAATCTTCACTTTCCTCCCAGTACAAGTTTCTTGTCCTGCCAATTTCGAAGAAACCTCAAGTCTACAAGGCTGATCAAGGGGAGGCACAAGGTAATAAACTTCCCCAGGTTCAAGCCTGGTTTCAGGCGGCAATGGTGCGTAAGGTAGAGCACTGTGCACCAACATATGGCCACAGTAACGCCCGGACGTGATCTTTCTAATCCTGGTTGAGGCTTTAAACTCCTTTTCTCCTCCATTATGGATGAGAACTTTGCTCTTCTCTGCAGATGAATAGCACAGAACATCAATGCAGTTTCCCATTGTGCAGTACCAGAATGTTTTGAATTAGAGCTGTGATTATCCTCAATTTATAGTGTGGTTTTGATTGACTTTGACATTGGAGACAACTTGTCGTGCAGGCCATCACGTATAAGGAAAGGGAACATTTCGATAATATTATCTTAAAAAGGTCAATGGTCTGTTCATCACCTGCATTGTTCATTGTATTGCTGTCTGAGAAAAAAAATAAGAAAAGAAAAAAGAAAAAAATATCAGTGTCAAAGTCAGTCATTAGCCATTTTATTAACATTTTTTGCCTGCGAGTACGTCAAACAAGCAGCAAGTAATTCCTTCTTTATTTTTTTGGGAAAGTCTCAAAACTGCCTCTCAACTATTGGGTCATTGTCGATTTTGCCTTCAAAGAAATTTTTGTATCAATTTTATCCTCTAACAACTTTGATTTCTCAATTACGGCGATCTATTAGAATTCCTTATAAGAAAATGTTAATTTCTAATAAAAAGATGTCGTTTCTTAAGATAAAAAATAAGTACAATTTGGACAGAATTCATGATCAAATATCGATGAAAATACTTAATAGAGAAATTCTTAAATTTGAGGATCAAAATCGATGCAAAAATTTGTAATTGAGGACCATTTTTTGAGTTTTGCCCTTTTTTTCATTTGGCGTCCAAAATTTCAAATGCTATGATAAACAATGCAAGTGCTTTCTTCTTTAGTATTTGTTCTTTAATCAGCTGATATCTGAACCTTAAGCAACCAAAGAAAGAAGTATTTACAGAAAAAAAGAAATCTTTTTTGTTTTTCCTTTGACTAGGGCTCACAGACTTCTTTCATACATCCATATGGAACTATAAACAATGGTGCAAACCTTTCAGTGGTCTTGGCCGTTGACTTTGCAACCCTTCACTTAGTCAACTCAAGTGACTGACTGGTTGCCATTGTACAGTATCAAATCAAAGCTTGTAACAACTCTTCTCTGGGATTGCATTACAAAAGAAAGTGCAGATAACATGCTCAATGTCCAGAATTGTTTTAACCTGCACTGAAGCTGTGGAGCTTCGTCGCACGACGCCATTTTATGCAGTGAATAAACTTCAGCAACAAACAGCAAACAAGCCAGTTTTTGTTAGATCACGCAAGCATATGGATACTGATCCAATTTTAAATAGCTTTCGGTATCAGTCCTGAAAAATGCAGGGTACTTTCATATTCCCTCCCTGAATATTGTCTCAATTATGCAGACTATCTAAAGAGATGCTCATGAATCATAGCACAAACGCGGAAAGCAACAAGATTTAGATATTTTGAATCTGATCAGCTATATAACAATTCAATGGCTGAATATAATGCTTTATCTTAACAGTACAAAAATTCCCTTTCAGGAGAGACAATATCAGCAGAAAAGGAAACTGGAAAATGTCTATAGACATTAAAAATGCAAAATCGACATGAGCATGGCACCTAAGCAGCTACTGCTTCAGTTGATTTTCTAGATTCCAACCATGACTCAGCTGCAACCTTTGTAGTTAAGAACCAGCCAACCTTATCAGGAGCCGCCTCATGGAATGGAGCATTCAGTTGCTTCAAATGTGACTCGAACACGTTGGCTAAACCTTTCTCTGAATACTTGTGTTTTCCATGCCCAGTATTGATTCCAAGCAATGGTGGAAGCTGCTCCCCTGCCTCCAATGCCTTGGACAAGTCATTCATCCAAACATGTAATGCTGTCAGAGCTGCTCCAGGAGAGAGAGACTTTAGATTTAGAGACCACTGGGTTGAAGTTCTGGACTGTATGTCTGTGTAAATTTCAAGTGTTAATCCAAGGTCTAGCAACTCACAAGCTTTCTCCAACATATTGAGGTTGACACAGAGGTCAATTAAGCAATTGCAGTAAGCTTTCTTTACTTCAGTGCTAATACTATCAAACAGGTCAGCAGCTTCCTTCTTAAAATTCACCTCACTGTCTTGGTCCTCTACCAAAAGTTTTACCACATAACCAAGCTTTGGATTAGCCCTCTCAACACATTCAACAAGCTTGCTGAGTTCTTCATTTGGTGTTTGAGTCATCACATTCAAAAGACAGCCACAGAACCGATCATCTGGAGTTATAAACAATTCAAAAAGTTGGTTAAATGTCTTCACAACATCATCAATGCGTTGGGCTTTCCCATAGCACTGGATAAGTGATGTCAAGATAAAAATATTAGGCTGAAATCCTGCTTCGAGCATCTCATTCAACGTATTCTCTGCCTCAGACACTTTCCCACAGCATGAGAACATCGTAATCATAGATGAGAAAGTCCAACTATCAGGCTCGATCCCAGAACTCTTCATGTCCTCAAAAATCTCAACAGCTTCATCGACATAGCCAAGATCAGCACACATAGCCAATATGGTATTATAAAGAACTACATTCAACCCCAACTCCTTTTCCTTCATTTCCCTATAAATTTTAATTGCATCATCTCCATAACGACACCTACCATATGCACGCAAAAGAGCTGTATATGTGGCATAACTTGGCGACAAACCACTCTCAATTATATCCTGATAGAATTTCTTCGCCTGCCAAGGCCTCTTGGCTCTTCCCATGGCATCTAACAAAGTGTTATATATAACCAAATTTGCCTTAACACCTAAAGCCTTCATTTCTTCATAGACATTCAAACATCCATCGAAATTCCCAGAAACCTTATAAATCCTAATTAAGGTCGAGAATGTGGTCCCATCAAGCCGCCAGTTCTCCGTTCTAGCTCGGTCATACAAGCTCAATGCTTTTTCAACATTACCAGCCCGCCCATACGAATCAATCATAGTCGACAACGTAACATCATCAGGATCAACCCCGAAACTCGGCATTTTCTCAAACCACTCAACTGCCTTATCAGCCAAATTACACAACCTAGCACAACTAATTATTGTCGAAAACGTAACATTATCCGGCTTAACACCTCTCTCAAGCATTTCATCAAACAACTTTTCAGCTTTATCCAAATCTCTACCTTTCCTAATAACCTTCAGAGACACATTATAAGCAACAACCTCTCTCTTAAACTTCAACCTCTCCTGAAAAAACTTCAGAGCTAACAAAGCAGTATCCGAATTCGACATGTTATTAAGAATAACAACAGCATCTTGTTCTATCAATTTATCACTAATCTCATTCAATACTTTAAAGACATCATCTTTATTTGCGCTACAAGAATTCAAAGACTTAGCTGCATTAATAAGTGAAGTATACTTAGCATCATAGGAACTCCGTCTGAGAATTGAAGCTTTAGAGCTTTTGGGGTTGACCCAGATGTAGGATTTTGAAGAAGACCCAGTTTTTTCCTTAAAGTTCGAATCTTCCGAAGTTTCTTGTTGAGGGATTTTTTCGTCTTGTAAGGAGACATTGGTGATTTGAAGAGCGGCTGTTCTTGATTGAGAAGAGAGAGTGTTTAGCTTCGAAGAATGGTAGAAGTTGTTGTTTAAGTTTCTTGGTTTGGAGTCTCTTGAAGAAGATGAGAGAGTGTTGCAGAGAGGTTGATAGAGAGAAGAAGGTGAAGAGCAGAGGCTGCATGCCATTTTTGTGGCCCTGTGTTTTGGTTACGGAGAGGGAAAGAACAGGGACCTTATCAACTTGAAAAGCAGCACAGTAGGGAAAGATATTTTGTTAAAGTACAATTTGATCCCTGTAGTTTAATTTTTACTTTTGATTTTTTGTAAGCACAAACCCTAAAATTTATGTTGTTCCCTCATCATCAAGAGAGCAATTTCTTAACCTTAAGGTGTCGTTTGGTTACTAAGAATAAAAAGGTTTAGAATAAAAATGTAAGAATCGAAATGAAAATTAAGTAATTGAAATGTTATTTGTATTCTCATACTGTGTTTAGAATATTAATGAGGAATCGAAATACAATTTAAATTTTTTAATATCCGATTTTCTATACAAATAAAAATAATAATTAAAAAATAATTTTATCAAACTATAATGATTGTAAAAATAATAAAGGTGATGATGGTGGTGGTTAATATACAATAAATAAATAAAATATATTATTATTTTGAAAAAAATTCATTCTCATTCTTTATTTTTATTCTCACATTTTAAATGGGGATGAAGTCGTGCGTAATTTTTATTCTCATTCCCACTCTTCATTCTCATTCTTAAGTCATTTATTTTAATCAAACAACTTCAAAGTGGGAATAAAACTTTCATTTTCATTTCTACCACTCTATTCTTAATTATCAAACGTCACATAATTATTAATGTATAGAAGAATGAAATAAAAAAGTTAATTTAATATCTCAATTATTATACTATTTTCTTATAAATCCATATGAAAAGAAAACTGGTAATTTTTGTGCGGAAACAGAATAAAAGGTAGGTTTCATAGAAAAAAGAAATAAGTTTATTTTCTCTTGTTGGAATAATACGAGATTTTTTTTATTTTCAAAAAATGAGTTTGGGCTGCTTTTCGGTTAATACACGCTTATTCAATTTATGGGCTTTATGCTCTTTGGGCCTCTAATATTGTATTTTAGATAAAGGATTAGCCCAACATCGCGCGTTGCAACGAGTAAATCTATTATATTTATATTTTAATATTTTAAATAATTTAAAAATATAAATATAAAATAAAAATTAATTAACACTCATTGTAAAAAAAATTATTTAATATAATATATATATACATAAATACATATACATACTTACATACATATATATACATACATACACACATACATGCATATAATTGAATTTAAATATATCTTAGGAATATTTTTTATTTTGATAAATAAACAATACATGCAATTAATTAAAAAAAATAATGCAATCCAGCAAAAAAAATTATAAGGACCTTTTTGTAATATTAAAAAAATTAGGAATTGTTTTATCTAAAGTAATAGCTTAAAGGATCAAAGTGTAAAATATTAAAAAATTAACAAAAAACCACTTACTTTTTTTTTTTTTGGAAAACGACGTTGTTTTAAATCTAAAACACTCAAAACAATGTCTTTTTGGTTTCACTTTAGT